ATAATAAGTAAATGATAAAAATTTTAAAATGATTGCACTGCTTTAAAGCCCTTTGACCTTTAATAATGTGTGGATGCACCCTGATGTGCTACGCATTCTCCAACACGCCTAGGCATGCTTCTGATCAGGTGGTCAATGTCCTCCTGTGGTATCTCATTCCAGGCAACCACCAACTCCTCTCGAAGTGCTTCTAGAGTCTGAGGAGGACGTTGCAAATTGAGCAATCTCCTACCCATCATATCCCACACGTGCTCAATTGGGGATAAGTCGGGAGATCTTGGTGGCCATGGTAGCAATGTGACGTCATTATGTTGAAAGAAGTCTATTGTGACTCTTGCAACATGTGGTCGGGCGTTATCTTGTTGGAAAGTTAGATCTGCCAGGGTGTCAAGATAGGGTAAAAGATGGGGTTCTAGAACTTCGTGGATATAACGCTGCGCGTTCATGTTACGTCTGATGAAGATTAAAGGTGACCTGGAACCATAAGCTATAGCACCCCAAACCATAACTCCAACAGTGTGATGAACATGTCTTTCAATGTATCGTATATTTTCGGATTATCCTCTCCATGCAAATAGGACGTTTCTCCGGTTTCATCCTAACTACATACACCTGCCGCCAGGTACGAATGTGTACAGGAGCGGGTAAATTGGCATCAGCAGTGCCAAAATTGCATGTTGAAACACACTTCCAGAATAGGAACGTTATTACACCGATTTTTTGATATGCCGTGTAAAATCTTAGCGTTTTCTGCTAACCACTCATCGTTTATCTAAATTTAAAATACGAGAAGTTCTAAATAATGAGTTTCCAAATAGATGGATGGGGCGTAATGCACCCATTTCATGGCCTGCTCTCTTTACGATTTTTTTCTGTGGGGCACGGTACCCATTTGATAATGATTTTTTTCTTCAATGTAAACTAACTCTCTCAATATGCAACTTTTATATAGGTGATTTTTGGCATCTCAACTATTTATTATACTTCATTCTTGGCGGTGTGTCAGCAAGAACCCGACGTAAACCTATCGACAGACAGAAATAAAAACTAATCGATCGCATATCAGCTATTTGTTATTCTCGAATCGTTGTAAAATCTGATAATTGGTATTCCGACAATGCCGAATGCCGGCCGAATCGGTGTTTGTCCTTCTCAGAAACCTCGGAAGGTCATGCCAGGTTTCTTTTTTTTCTACGGCTCTTTTGTTTTACGTAACATTCGGATGCCTCGTTGACGTTCTTCTCATTGCTTGCGGGTAACCTTTTGGATTCCATCGCGTTCCATGGTTGCCCAAGAATTGCTCCTTTTTGGTCGGTGAATTTTCAAGGAATGTAAGGTCGTATCGGAACGCTATTGTTTCCTGAAATGGCCAATCAGGTCATGATGTGCTAGTATAAAATTAGCACGTGCTTTCAAAAATAATTAAAATCGGATAAACATGCATCTGGTTTACCACAAAAGCCTATTTTTCTATTTGATCCGGAGATCAAAATAGGGATGTTCCGATACCATGCATCGATTCGTATCGTTTTAGGAAGTATCGATATCGGAATAACAATATCGATACCACAAGTATCGGAACCTTTGAGCCGTATTCATAAAACAAAGGATATCCGTGTACTTGCAAATTTTGAAGGAAATCCTCCAGATGGTATTTATAATAATTTGAAGTAAATGCTTTTGCTTTTTGAGTATAAGCATATCCTTCAAAGCAGTGACATAAGTAAAAGGATATTCATAATCTTCCCCTTATAACGGGTGATTTTTTAAGAGGTATTCGATTTGATTTGCAAAAAAAACACAAAAACTTTGAAAAAACGATTAAATCCTTATTTGAGTCGATAGAACGGTCGATATAATTTAATGTTTAAAGATTATTTCATGTAAATGTTGGCCGCGGCTCCGCTTTAGATGGCGCATGCGCAAGGTCCAATTTTGGCACACTCTCTCCAACATATCGGCCGGTATCTCACGAATAAATGCTTCAATATTGGCTTCCAGTGCGTCAATCGTTGCTGGTTTATCCCTTAACATGGCCCCACAAGAAATAGTCCAACGGCGTTAAATCACACGATCTAGGCGGCCAATCGACGGGCCCCAAACGTGAAATAAACTGTTCACCGTACTCGCCTCTCAATAGGGCCATTGTTTCGTGGGCGGTGTGGCATGTGGCACCGTCTTGTTGAAACCACATGTCAGCCAAGTCCAGCTCTTCCATTTTGGGCAAAAAAAAGTTTGTTATCATCGCACGGTAGCGCTCGCCATTCACAGTTACATTGTACGTATTGAAAGCAGTACGTACGCCATCTGTTATTGAAAAAAAAAGGCAAGTGGAATAATTCTCTTCTCTGTTCCTAGACGGCTCAAGCGGCACCAAATGCACCAATTTTATTATTAATGTGATAATAAATCAGACTCTAGCCACTGCCTATTTAGGATTTAGAACGTTATTAACGTTAAAACAGTGAAATAAATATGATAGTTTTGTATGTAATAAATTCCGCTACATTTTGGGCTAATTTGCTCTACCGCCGCTACGCCGCTCTTCTCAAAATAATCCGCTACAAATAGCGGAATTCCGCTACGTATGGCAACACTGAATGACACGATTCACGCGTCATCTGTCAAAAACAGTGTTGCCAAAAAGATACTAGCAAAAAAATCATTAGATACTTGGCATATTCTTAAAAAATTCTGAGTGTGATTTTTAGTTGAGAATGAGTAAACCCGAGGAGGAACACTCTCATGTATTCATAAAATAAAGATATGTCTACGCTATCTCAGTGACCTTGGGTATCAACAAGGTATTTGTCAGGAACCTGGTGTTAGTCAAGCAACGGTATCTCGGACTGTGGATAGAGTTGTGAACAGCATAGTTGCACAGTCGAACGAATGGATCAAGTTTTTCATGTGTTTCTGGCATCCAATTCAAACAACTAAAATTATTCCCTACTAAAATTGTCAACCAACCAATAGGAAACCTCCCATCAGTCATGTGGCCGATTGTGTGTCGAGCTTGCTATGCCACGTTTAGCGAAAGAATTGTCTATATTATATCTATAAATTGCGAGCCAACACGTAGCTACTAATATCCTTCATTTTCCTACTACCGTACAGACAAAAACAAAAACGAGTTCATCCTATGACCACAAAAAAACATCGAGGCAGACCTATACGGTTTATCAGAGAGTTGACGAGAATTACCGTATTGGCCGCGTGGCGCCCAATCAAAGTGAAGCAATCTCTGTGTGGCTGGTTGCCTTCCAATCGGTATTCGACTAAAAAGAATGTGATAAGAACGCTCGCAGAAATGAGTCATTTCTTTCGTGTTTTTGCTTGATTGCAAAGGAAATAAGGATCCTATGCAAGAGGATCTCGATATCTGTGGGAGATTTAGATTAAATTAGGAAAAAGCTGCGTTCTTTGAGGCGTATTTACATGCCGTGTATAAACTTGTAAAAATGTCATGGGTATTTGGGAAAAACTAAAGACAAATCGTTTATATTTTATTTTTGACTTTATTTTAAGAACGAACCTTTATCAATGCCACTTTTTAGGCATTTCTTGATGGTATTTTTAGATTTCGTGCCCGACATTTCGTTTTTCAGAAACCGTCCCCATTTTTTTATATGGTCCAAAAAAAGTATAACCTGTATCGGATAGCATCTTTTTCTACGAATTCAGTGGGGTGAAATTTTATAAAATGATAACGAACATATTTTTAGCATTACTTTTATTTTGTATCTAATAATACGGGATACTTGTATCGAAATATGTATTTTCCGCCTTTGGAACTCGATCATTGCGGAATTCCTTGTTATATACAAAACGATTATACAGGTACGGATAGAAAACAGGTTGCTATTTAAATTTTACACCATGCTCAATTGAACATAAACCTGTGATTTGTTATCCTGCGTGTACACACAAAGCAAAATAAAATCGAACGCTAAATAAAGATCAAAGTAGGCTAAGGGCCGTATCGTTAGTCGTTTCTACAATTATTGTAGGACGCTTTTATGGCCTCCTTGATTTTCATAGTTTTCTACTGTTCCGTGTCAGCCTCTACTTTGAGGTTATGTCACAAATATATATTTGCATCAAATTATTCATTCTTTTGTAGTATATCATCTGTTATATCAGCCTGAAATAATTTCCTACGATTCAAAAAGAAAACAACCTCACAATACGAGAATATTGAAGTACCGATACTACCCGCGTTACATCAGCAGCTTCTTAACTGATTTTTTCAGATGGATCTCTTCAAGGTCATCCTGATGTTTTACAATGTTTAGTCAGCGCCACCTTCAACTAATCTACATCTACACACTATACAGACGTTTCTAACAAGCACCGATTCACACACATTTTAAACACATCAAAGCACGATTTTATACTACCTAAAATAAATGCTTTCTGCACGGTTTGAAGAGCAAAACTAAGTAGATTACTCTGGTTTGTATGAATTGCACTGTTCCCAGAGATTTACAACAAAATTGCACCAAAAAGTCGGAGGTTAGGAATATAAACAAACGAAAAGCCCGGCAAACACCTGTCTGTGGAAGACCCCAAAGCTGCGTTGCCATATCTACTGTTCATGGCTCGTTAGTTGAAGGTGGCGCTGGTTTAGTATAGTTGAATACTGTAGTTGTAGTTCCATCAAAGTTCTACACTTGAATAGAAAAATTATTAAATATAATGGAAAGAAAAAGAAGGTTACGCTCAGTTTGGCAAAAATTAGAACAAGTTCTAATCGCGTGAAGAAAACTCCATGGATTTACTTGACGTCAAATTCATGGTTTACACTTTTGAAATTTGGCCATGAACTCAATTCATGAAGAAATTCGTGTATTTATTATCAGTGTAAGACGGGTATTAAGGAAATATAGTCGTCCCGATCAAGTTACCGTTGTTTAAAACTTGATGTTTCCCGAATTGGCGTTGATAATGACAGGCTGGTTGATTTGACATGACATCAATATATTTTCTCTTTGTTTCAGGCTAAAAAAGATATATACTACGTAAAATCACAACGATTAAGGTTAGCCGAAGATGAATATTTGCATCTCAACAATGCTCTCACAACACTCACAACATCTAGGACTAGTCGTAAGTTTTTACAATTCATTCTACTATAACTAGGTATCAAGAATGTTGAAATTTATACAGGGGGATTCACAAGTCGTGACCAAAATCACAAACACGACCGCATTTTAAGCGGGGTCTTCTTTGTAACATTTTTTCCCACAGGGCTTTATTAAAAAGAATATAAAAAATAAACTTTTTTTTTAATATCTTCAAAACCGTCAACTGGAAAAAACTAAAATCAGGTACGTGGATTTACCTAAATATTATCCACATTCAAAAGTCTTTGCTTAAAATTATCGTGCACCAGTGGCGTACTATTTTTATTTGGAAAAATAAGGCCACCAATCCCCTGTATTTCCGCCACTGGTGCACGATAATTTTAAGTACAGACTTTTGAATGGTGACAATACTTACGTAGTCGACGGTTTTGAGGATATTAAAAAAAATGTTTTTTATTAAGCCCTGGAGGAAAAAATGTTAGATGTTTCATTTTTGGTCACGACTTGTGAATCACCCTGTATACCTACAATTTTAACTACATATTTAAAAACTGTTCATTAAATCATATTATTTTAAATTTTTTTAGATCGATGTATAGACGAACTTTTTCAATTGAATTTTCTGCTTCAATGTTTTTAGTTGGCGAATAAAGTGCATATAATAAATTTTGTTTAGGTATTCAAGTTTCTTTTGAATGATGTGTGTTTTCATTTCAGTATGTTCATCTAGCAGTAGTGTTAGTACAAAATATGATCCGGATCTGTTGAAGTCAGATGTAGCGCTAGCCAAAAGTAGGGTGTCCAGGTTAAAGTCTGAATTGGAACAAATTAGGAACGAAATGACGTTCACGCAGAGGGGCGTTGAAACATTGACAAAGTGAGTATTTCTGACATTTTAGAGATGACTGATCTTGAAATATACAGGGTGTTTAAAAAATTACATTCTGAAATATTGATTTGCTTGTTATATTGTCATTGCAATTTTGTAAATGAAAATCTATATTTCCTCTTGTATAATAATTGTGGTAATGACTGATCAATTATATGTAGTGTTCTAAATGTTGTGGCAAAAGATGATTTTTTATTTTATATATAAAATTAAACACCAAGTATGATATGAACTTTTTTATATATTCAACAACTGCAATTCTTGTAACATAGATTTTATTTTGGTGTATTTATTTTTATTCAATATTCTCATAGCTTTATTTTGCAACACTTGTAATTTTGAGAATACAGCTTTATTATACGCTATTTTTTTGGAATATGTACTAAGACTATCAGAAGCCCTGTAAAAGTAGTTTGTTTTTTTCACAATTTTTTAAGTAATGTATAATGTAATTATTGTGATCCTCAAACTTTACTATATATATGGTGAAAAATAAAGCTTCCGCCTTTAGTTCGGTACTTCGACAAAATTCGAGCAATGAGGACTGTTTATACTTTATTAGTCTCTAGCTTTCAATGGACTTTGCCATCTTCATCAGGAGCTGCAATAGCATTGAGCAACTATTCTGCAAAATGATTTTAAATTACTTTAGTATGTGAGATTGTTGCTAATTGTTATTAACGGTTAGGTTGAGGAAAACATTCAGTATCCTGGTGAAAGCTGGATACATGGTACATTCGTTAAAATTAATATAAAATACACACAGCTGTATGTCAGGAATACATCAAAACGTATTAAAAAATATTTAGAACGATGTAATTTTAACTCTCGTTCCAAATATTTTTAATCCGTTCTGATGTGTTCCTGACAAACAGCTGTGTGTATTTTACACTACTTTGAACGAATGTACCATGGCTCCAGCTTTCACCAGGTTACTAAATGTTTCCCTCAACTTTACCTTTAATAACATTTAGCAACAATCTCACATACTAAGTAATTTAAAATAGTTTTGCACAATAGTTGCTATTTCTTCTTAATGCTATTGCAGCTCCTGATGATGATGGCACAGTCCATTGAAAGCTGGAGACTAATAAAGTACAAAGAGTCCTCATTGCTTGAATTTTGTCGGAGAACTCAACAAAGGCGGAATATTTATTTTTCACCTAATTGGTCTAGACGACAATGGTCACGTCTCAAGTTATATATATATATATATATAAGACAGATATTAAACAGCTGAGTGTCATTTACTCATATTTGCTAAACTGCGAAAAATTGGAGAACTTACATATCTCCCCAAATTTCGACTTTTCACAACCATAAATATAATCTGTGTTTTGGCCGATTCCACCAACAAATTTTATTCCACTCAAAATCTAATAATTCTCTTCTCACGATTTATTAATAATTATTAATTTAAAATTCCCATTAACTAAAATATAGTTTATTCAACTGCCTCTGGTCGGTTTAACAATTTCTTACATAACATTCTGAAAATCACATCATCTGAAGTGATTTGGCAACGTTTTGGCACACGCCCACAATTCGTTCCATCTTTCAACACAGACATTGACAACCTTCGGCCTGCTGTCAAAGGTTCATCTCACTCATTATTCCATGACCACCATTTTGTGCAATCATCAAGTGGCTTCACGACGTAATGCTCTAATGTTTTCTAAATAATTTTTAATCTGTCTTTAACTTGTCTTGTCATATTTTATATAATTTTAACCATTGTACCATGTATCCAGCTCTCACCATGTTACTGGACGTTTCCCTCATCCTATACGAAAACAACAATTAGCAACATCCTCACATACTACTGTAAGTTGATTCAATTTAAATTCATTTTACACTTTTGTTGCTACTGTTATCATTGTAATTGCAGCTCCTGATGATGATGGCAAAGTCCATTGAAAGCTCGAGAGAATTAAAAAAAGTATAAAGAGTCCTCTTTGCTTAAAATTTGTCGAAGTACCCAACAAAAGGCGGAAGCTTTAATTTATAGAGAGAGAGATAATGATCATGCGGAGACAGGTATATAACAAAAAGTAGAAAAATAATGGGCAAAATCCGCAAAAAAGAGGAAAGTGGATTCGAGCAGAAAATAGGATAGGTAACCCGAGCGATACGTATTTCTGCTGGTTGGCTTCATCAGGCCCGAAATGAATGCACATATGAAACTACAAAAGTAGATACACATGCCCACACATCCGGGCCTGATGAAGCCAACCAGCAGAAATACGTATCGCTCGGGTTACCTATCCTATTTTCTGCTCGAATCCACTTTCCTCTTTTTTGCGGATTTTGCCCATTATTGTTCTACCTTTTGTTATATATATATATATAATATATTTTTAATTTAGATTTATATAGTAGCATCAACATCAACAAACATTTCAGTCATATCTTACAGTAAAAGAGCTCCTCGTAATTTTGCATATTAGTAATTTCTTCCACTTTTGCAATTAAATTTTGTTCGTTCGTTATTGTCAAATCTACAATTGTTCTTAATTGATTTGTAATTCTGGTATGATCTTAAACATTTTTTCCATAGTCCATAAAAACTGAGTACTTGTTTAAATTTCTTTGCGCAGAAGTATTGCTTATCAAAATTTATATTAAAACCGCCCAAACGTACCGCAGTTTCGATAAAAATGTTTCTGATAGATATTTTCGAAAAAATATATATATCTGTCTAACTTGAGCCCTGGTCATTGTCGTCTAAACAACCAGTCAGCTGAGAAAAGCTTCAGCCTCTAGTTGAGTACTTCGACAAGATTAAAGCAATTAGTACTCTTTTTACTTTATTTTCTCAAGCTTTCGATGAGCTATGCATCGTCATCAGGAGCTACAATAAAATTAGGAGAAATAGCAACTACAAGTGCTAGATTGACTTTAAACTACTTACAATAGTATGTGAGATTGTTGCTAAATGTTATTATTTGTTATGTTGATGGAAACATTCGTTAAGTCGTGGTGACAATGATTGGATTAGGATGTCTTCTTGGTGTACTTGTATTGTATCCCAGACCATCTAAATTTGGTTTCCTAGAGCCTCCAAAATTTTGCAACCTTCTTCCCAACATGTCCCATACATGTTCGATGGGGGAAAGGTCTGAAGATCGAGGAAGCCACTGAAACAGATTGACACCGAACGCTTCTAAAAGGTCTAAACTAACATGTGCGACATCAGGTCGTGCATTGTCCTGGATCTTGCAATGTTTCCAAAAAGGATGTGGTTGTAAAACAGCATCAAACCACTGGTTCGCAACTGCACTTGTGTTGTGGAAAATCGATCTCCAAGTGCTGGTCTGTCTTTGACTTTAACTCGTCGATTTCGGCCTTCTTGGAACCACGCTTGACATCTCATTGCAGTAGCTTCGTTTCGATTCACCCGATTAGAGATTTCCCTAAAAGAAAATTCAGCTTCACTTAACCCGACCCCTCTCAAACTCGGTCAGTCTGCGAACTCTAGGCACGATAATGCAATGAAACAACAATGAAACAACATTTTTGAATCATGATAAGACAAAAAAAAGTAACGGCTCAGAATGCCTTTATCATGATAGGAAATATATTTGCAAGTTTTTATCAAAATTCAATAAATAATTCTGGGTGTTGCATTCTATATGTCACTTAATTGGAGATCTGTAGTAAATTTCAGACTTCCTCATTATCAGTCACAGTTTTGTTTACATAAAACACGTATTTGTTGATCACAGGAAGTACAGGCGGAATCACAATTTCTTACATGATTTTTTCGTTGTCTTTTCAGCGTCGAACAGAAACTGAGCACGCAACAAGGCGCCTGTTACAACATATCCGAGGCCCAAGCGATAATGGCCGAACTGAGGAACATCCAGAAATCGCTGTCTTCCGGCGAGAAAGAAAAGGCGGACTTGATGCAATCGCTGGCGAAGCTCAAGGACGACCTGACGAGGCTGCAGCTGAGCGAGAGTTCGCTGGACGTATCTACTTTCAGTTTGCCCCAGGAGAAGCTGAGCACGGCTTCGCAGACGGACCTGTCGTGCGATTTGGTGCCTATCGGCACGAGGCTGGCCGAAATGGCCAAGATGAGGTTAGGAAATTTGCTCAAAGTCTTCATATTCCAGATTCTACATACCCGTGCCAATTCGTAGTCCATTTACGTCCAGACAAAACACAACATGCCCAAAAGGGAGTTTGTACTCGTATTACCCAACTAGCAAGGTAGTGCTGTCCCAACTAACAATTATCACTCCTATTAGAGTTGCAAGCATAATTATACAGTATTCCATACACAGCATTGTGTACTGTAAGAACATTGGCAAAACCGTCTTAGAACAGCTATACAAGCGGAAAGGGCACACCTAATAGGACACTTCAGTCATTTAAGAGGTTGTATAAGTGCTGCAGGTAACAGTTATACAACAAAAGCGTAAGCCTCTTGCAGCCGCTATAGGACATTTGCGTCAGTGCAAGATTCAGTTTTTGTCAACTATACAACTATTCTGTTACGTGATTCTACTTTATTGCAACCAAACTATTTCTTATGTATTGTATAGACGAATTGAAGAATATATAACCAGCACATTACAGTCATCTTGTTTACTTACATATCGGCCATTGTGAATTTCATGCACAGGTATATGATAAACTTCTACACTTTGATATAGGGCTATTGAATTACTTGCGCAGCAAATTTTATTGTGATGTACCCAATTTCTACGGGCTTGCTATTTGATTCATAGATAGATAGATAGATAGATAGATACTTTGACAATGATCAAAAGTATGTCTAGATTTTTAAGATGGAAAACTGAACTTATTTGCGTTAAATCTTCCACAAATCTTATATTTAGACACAATTACACTGATGTTTATCACGTTGTATCTGTAATTTCGAACTGAAACATAATTATTTAATATTAAATAGAGAAATAAATTTTTGACTAATATGGCGGGTGGTTGTGCATAATCATGGCATCGTCCATGTTGTCTTTGGTTTATTAGAATATTTTGGTGTTGCCTGCAGGTGTTATACAACAATTTGACAAATGTCTGAAATGAAATACCGACAGAGTCGAATGATTTACCCAGAATTTGTACCAGATCTATATCTTCTGTTTGAACAGTTGATAAAACCTTTTTAACCAATATGCATGCGTTGTTTGTCTTAAAACATTGGTTATGGCATTTTAACAAACATATGACAGCAGAAAGTTAGGTTATGGTGAAGTTGTATACCAACATATTTAGCATATGTACAGCCTTTAACAGTGTGCCTGGTTAACTTTACTGTCAAGCAACATAAGCATCAATGACTCGTTCTTCTGAAAGCTATTTTTTTTAAATGTTGACGTAACTAAGAGCATTTTTTTGTCAGGTTGGAGTATGATGAAGCTAGGAAAAAAGTACAACATATTCAACAGAAATTAGCCGATTTAGAGGAGAAGGTGCAACCCGGTCAAGTGGAGTCGGATCGGGACAGACTGTTGCTGTTCCAAGAGAAGGAGCAACTGCTGAGGGAATTGAGGAGTATCACGCCAAGAATGAGGTGAGTTTTTGACCAATTTCACTAAAATCAGTAAAAGCTATCTGTCCTTTAAACTTGCCTTGAAACTGACTTGTAAGTATCATGGTAACGATCAACATAACACCTTCTTACAAGGTTTTTTAATGAAATATTTCTTTCAGTATACTGATCCTTCGAGTTTTTCGTCTTAGAACTGCAATAGGCATATTCATAATTATTGCAAATCAGACAAACTTTATCTGCCTATTTATCAGAAACTCATAGGATTGCTTCGGTCTCATGGACACTTTTGTTCAGGGATGCAACAAATGTATCATACTGATTTTTTTTTTCAATATGATTTGTGCCTGGTCCTTCAAAACATGCTGCATTAAATAGACATTTATTGTTTATTTCATATTTATTTAGCATTAATGCTACAATATCCATATTGCACAGTATATCACAAAATATACGTATATTATGTCTTCAAGACTACATATTTTTATACAAGATTTCGCTACTATGAATTCTGGTTTTCCATGAGATATTTTCCAATTTCCCTTTGAACATTTTCAAACTGACACACATCTTGGTATCATTACTTAATTTATTAAATTCGTACAATCCCTTTTGAAATACTGACTTGCTCGTTATATTGCTACTGCAGTTTTGTAAATGAAAATCTATACTTCCTCTAGTAGAGTAATTGTGGCACTCTTTGTTCAATACAATAAAATTTTCTAAGTGATGTGGTAGATGATTTTTTAATTTGAATATGAAAATGAAATTTTTGATATTTAACCGTTGTAGTTCTTTCAGCATAAAATTTATTCTAGTAAATATATTTTTATTTAAGATGATTCTCGTAGCTTTATTTTTTAATATTTGTAATTTTGAAAATATAGTTTCATCTGCAGTGAACAAAATAGTCGAACAACATAACAAATGAGGAAGAATGATAGTGTTGCACACAATTTTTTAGAAATTCTATAAAAGTAATTTATTTTCTTGGATATTTTTGAAATAATATATTCATAGTGCCCTTAAAATTTTAATTTACTGTCTACGTATATGCCCAAATATTTAAATGATTCGATTGACACAATTTTTTCACGATTAATTGTAAGATTTATCGTATTTTGATTTAAAGATTGTCCTATTAGCATATATTTTGTTTTGTTTGTGTTTAGTTTAAGTTTATTTACATTTAACCAATTTATTACGTTTTTCATATCATTATTTAACAGCTATATTGCAGTTTCAATGTTTTTATTTGATATATATATATATATATATATATTATATATATATATTTTTTTTTTTGAGACGTGGTCATTGTCGTCTAGACCAGTTAGTTGAAAAATAAAGCTTCCGCCTGATGTTAGGAACTTCGACAAAATTCAAGCAAAGAGAACTCTTTATACTTTATTAATCTCTAGCTTTCAATGGACTTTGCCATCTTCATCAGGAGCTGCAATAACATTGAGAAAAAATAACAACTATTATGCCAAATGGACCTAATTTGCTACCCTGTGGCACACCTACCGAAATGTTTTTAATGTTCGATAATGCATTGCCAGTTTTAGTTCTTTGACTTCGATTGATTAAATAATTTTTTTTTATATTAACGTATTTTTCTCAAGGTCGAAGGAAGAGATGAGCGGGATACAGATGGAGTGCAAAAGGTTGGAGCAAGACCTGAACAAGGCGTTGGAGATGTCGAATCGCGCGATAGCGGACAGGTTGAGGCTGCACGAGGAGAAGCAGCTGTTATTGCAGCAGCTGAAAGACGGACTGCGACAGATGACGCAGCTGGAATCGCAGCTGAAAACGCTCTCCGCCAGCACGTTGTCGGTCAGCAGCAGTTCTAGTCTTGGATCGTTGTCCACCACCAGCAGCAAAGGTATGTTATTGCGACAAAGATATCGATGTCTATGCAAACTATTACGGCTGTGCTTCAACACCATGCGAAATCGGCTACGTCGCGAACGTGTCTCTAGAGACTTTCATGTGTTTTTATTTTTCAGGTTCGCTGAGCTCCGGCTTGAGCTTCACGGACATCTACGGCGGTCCCCAATGCACGGGTCCCGCCACCTGCGAGAAGCCGATAGACATGGCTGACCTGCATAGGAGGGTAGAAAGACTTCTTGCGGGAGGAGGTGGCAGTACCGGTGCAGGAGATAGCGGCTCTTCACCCGGAAGGTACCATAAAATTATCAGATCTGTTACGATGTTTTTATATCAATAAACAAGGAAACTTTTTGCACAAATATAGTCCATAGTGCATGAGCAATTAATGCAGTTTATAGAAGAAAACAAAATTTTAGTGGAGGCGCAAGCAGGCTTTCGAAAAAAAATATTCCACAGAAACAGCTTTCCAGTTGGTAACTGAGAATTGGAGAAGAGCCATAGACTCAGAAGAAGTTGTCATAGTAGTATTTTTGGATTTGAAGAGGGCATTTGAAACGAGAGATATTTTGTTAGGTAAATTGAAGGCATATGGTATAACAGGAAGTGTTTTAGATTGGTTTAGAAATTATTTGTCTAAAAGGATGCAACTTACAAAAGTTAATGACACTATTTCATCAAAAATTGAAAATACGTTGGGTGTTCCACAGGGCAGTATCCTCGGATCACTTCTTTTTATTTTACACATAAATGATTTACCTGCCATAGTCAGAAAATGCAAAATTCAGATTTTCGCCGATGACACTATGATTTATATAAGTACTAAAAATATTCAGTCTGGTATCTCTTATATAAATGAAGACTTGAAGCTTGTCTCAAAATGGTTAGCATCTAACAGACTAAAATTAAATGCAAGTAAAACGAAAGCCTTGTTAATCGGAAAAAAACAATGTACAAATGTTCAACTGAATATTGATGGTGAAGATATTGAATTCGTAGAAAATTTTAAATACCTGGGGGTTTTTGTTGACTCTCGATTAATTTTTGATATTCATTATGAAAAAGTTATAAATAAGATTAGTAGTAAAGTGGGATATTTATCGAGAGTTTCTGGATGTCTGAGTTCATATAGCAGAAAAATTATCTATAATACCATCATTCTACAAATTTCTTGTAGTGTTCGACTATTCTATATTTAGCAAACAATTCCATTTTTGAAAGACTGCAAATTTTACAAAATAAGTGCATGAGAATAATACTAAATAAAGATAAATATACTCCAATTAGGCAAATGCTTAGCAAATTAAAATGGCTCAATGTAAAAATTTTTATCAAATATCTTGTAATGATATTCATTTATAAAGTAAAAAATAATATATTTCCATCAAGTCTAACTAATTTAACATCATCAAATGTAGACCATCATTTACATAATACCAGAAATAAAGATGACTTCCATTTAATGACCAAAAAGTATAACATATGTTACAAATCTGTATTCCATCAAGGGTTGATTGAATATAATAAACTATACTCGGAGATAAAAGACCAGAAAACTTTGACAAAATTTAAAGTAAAATTGAAAAGTCACTTGTTAAATCTACAATTATAGGTTGCCCAGCATTTACATCATACACCATATGGCTTAAATTTACTAGTTTTAAGTTGTTTACAATTGTTCTGTTTATGTAGCCAAATGTGCTAAATAAATCTTTCTACTACTACTACTAAATACAATTTGTGGACGTCTCAGTTTTCGGCAATATTCAGAAAGAATCCTTTTTATCTGATAATTTAATGGTGTGTATAGAGATGACTTAAAAACAATGTTTTTATTTTTTTTTTGTCAAAAAAATGCATCTTTTGTGCATTTTTTCTGCAATCGGAACTTGTTAACAAATATAAGTACGGCTCTGGAATTGTATGTGAATATTCCACTTTAATGGATGAAGGAAACAAGTGATTGCTTTTGTTCTTATCAGTTTTCCTTTTCGAAAAAACTTTGATTTTCGTGAAGCCTCGACTCGCAGCAAGTTGGGTTTTCAAGAAAAGCAAAGATTTTTCGAAAAGAAAAAGTGATAACAATAAAAGTAATCACCTGTGTCATTCAGCCATGAAAGTGGAATGTTCACACACAATTTCAGAGTTGTACTTACATATATTTGTTAAAAAGTTCCGATTGGAGAAAAAATGCATTTTTGACAAAAAAAAATGAAAACATTGTTTTTAGTCATCTCTATACACACCATGAAGCACTTAGATGACAAGGATTTAGAAGACTGTTGCGAACAGGTAGTTGAAAAAAAAAAGCGAAAAAAGGGACGTGCTATCCTACAAAAAGTATACGTTATCGGATGAAGAAGCATCATTCTTCGTAGCGATGGAAGTAAAGGGTTGTCCAATAGGGACGCAGGAAAGTAAACGTCAATTTGTCATAGGCGCCATCTTTGTTTTCGGTCACCGACATGTCATTTTGTTAGTTGAATGTTTACCATTGATCGCTATGGAGTCGTATTCGATTGAAGACCGCATTAAAGTTATTCAAGAGCACTACAAAAATGGCGCGAAAATAAAAAACACGTTTCGTGCGCTACGTGAACATTTCGGTCGCAACAACCGCCCAAAAGAAACAACCATCGGTCGTCTGGTGCGTAAATTCGAGGCAACAGGTTCTGTGGCAACTCTTCCAGTCTCTGGCCGGCCAAGGAGCGTTCGCACACCGGAAAATATTGCTGTTGTGAAGGAGAGTGTGAGAGACGATCCGAAACAATTAACAACGTGTCGATCTCAAGAATTGGGCATTTCGAGAACCAGTTTGCTCCGCATTCTCCACAAGGATTTGAATGTACACGCCTACAAGATCCAATTGACGCAAGAGCTGCGTCGGGCCGACCATTTTTCGCGCCGAACGTTCTCAGATTGGCTCTTTGAACACCGCCAAATGGATGCCAATTTTTCATCAAAAATCATGTTCAGCGACGAAGCGCATTTCACTTTGAATGGGACGGTAAACAAGCAAAACTGCCGCATCTGGGCGAACGAAAATCCCCGTGAGTATCAAGAGCAGCCGATGCATCCTCAAAAAGTGACTGTGTGGTCAAAAGGCATCATCGGACCTTACTTTTTCGAAAATGCGGCCGGTGACGCCGTTACCGTCAATTCCGAGCGATATCACGTGATGATAGAGGACTATTTTTTGCGGCAACTTGAAGGAATGGATATGGACGATGTTTATTTCCAACAAGACGGTGCAACTTGCCACACAACCAACGTCAATATCCATCGATTGCAGTCCTTCTTCGGTGATCGCGTGATTTCGCGCAGAGGAAATGCGCCATGGCCACCAAGATCGTGCGATTTGACTCCCTTGAATTTCTTTTTATGGGGATATTTGAAAAGCAACGTCTACGTCAACAAACCGGCCACCCTCCAAGAACTCAAAAACAACATCATTGCCGAGATAAATGCCACAGAACCGACTATGTTGCAAAATGTCATTGAAAATTTCGACCATCGCGTGGACGTCTGTAAATCCAGTCGTGGTGAACATTTGAGCGATATTATTTTTCATACACAAATGGTATAAATGAACCTTCAAAATAAAGTACCCAACTTGATCTTTCTTGTTTTAATATGCGTTTACTTTCCTGCTTCCGTTTTGGACAACACCATACATGATTTAAAGTAAAATAATATTTATGAATATCCGTACACTTCTCAACGTCTTCACCATAAACAATGTAATTATAAACACCGATGCTTTATAGCGTGAAAAAATCGAAGGAACCTTTATTTTTGCATCTCGTACAGGTCCCAACCTTCCCTGTCGCCCCGCAGTTCCCTGTCATCCGTGTCACCACCGGTGTCTCCGATGTACGAGAACCTGCCTTGCAACGCCGCCATGATGGCCGCCGCCGCGGCGGCTGCCGCTCAGCAACCGCCGCCCCCCGCCTACGAACAGGTCGAAAGGGACAGAAGGTTGATGATGCAACAAAACGAACAAGACTTTAGGTGAGCTATCTTATTATCTAGTTTTTAATTTTGACACTGCCTGCCTGAAACGATAACGTTCCCCGCTTTCTTCTCAGACAGAACGCTAGTAGCACCAACGTAGGAAGCGGTACCAATAGCGAGTACTTCCAGCAACACCAACATTATAGCAGTTTCCCTCCGTCGTCGCAACGTGTTTCCGTGCCGAGCCTGTCGCCGTTAACCGACCTGCTGGAAGCGCAAGTGAACATGTCGCAGGGCAGCGGCCTAGGGCGGCCGTCTCCCTCCACCGCCCGCCCCTATTCGTACGACTGCGAGCCGCCCTTGTCGCCGATTTCGGAAACGCCGCCCCCGCAGGCTCAGCACCACCACCACCACCATCACGATGACGTTCTGCTAGCGGCTGCCGCGCTATCCAGGACTTCTTCGTCGGGCACCAACACGAGGTATGAACGGGGAACTTCATTAAAAACTGTTTTATCTTGTCTATATTTCTAGTTATTATTTGGGGAGAAATAACTCAGTTGGTAGATGATGCGGCGTCGGAGTGAGGTTCTTTGTACTTTGGTCTTTGATACAAATGGTTGAGGTTTAGGCGCCACCTAGCACCAAGAACTAGGAAAAAAAATAACAAGAAGTGCCTTTGGGCCTATCAAAACGTAAAATGGGTCTCTGGAGCTTGAGGAAACGAAAATTCACAAGGCACGCAAACCGTTATTGAACAAAAAAAAAAATACAGCAGACGCTCGATAACGTAAACACGGGATAATGAAAACTTGCGCTAATGTAAACACAAACTTCGTTCTATGGGATCAAACGGAACGCGCGATAACGTAAACAATGTGTACGCTCGATAACGTAAACAACTCTCGGCGCACGGAAACAGCGCGACGGTAAAATGCTGAAGCTTCGATGATTTATGTCGGGCGTCGGGGAGTCCCCGATGTATGATGTAGAGTGTAGGGGATTCACCTGTGCGATAAAATACGACAAACTCGGTCAGTCGTATGATCGTTTAGGATACGTTTATGCGTACGTATGTATTTCATTTTTGAACTTAAGTGAATACGTTGCACGCGTTAATATATTTTACGACTATGGCATCCACATCCTATAAAAGAAAGTGTTTAAAGTTGAGTGAGAAAGTGAAAATCATACACGAAGTTGCACTAGGTGCGGGAGTGACACAGTTAGCAAAAAAATATGGAGTATCGAAAGCAACAATCTGTAAAATTAAGCGTATGAAAACTCAAATTTTACAAAGAACGTGCAATACATTTGGAGGTCCGGGAAAAAGAAAAACTTTAAAAAATGCGAAGGCGCCTAAAATGGAAAATTCCCTGTATAAGTGGTTTTTAAAACAACGGGAAAATCATGTCCCAGTTAGTGGCGAAGTACTTAAACAGAGAGCGAGACTGTTAAATGAAAAACTGAAAGAAACCGAAAATTTCGTAGCTAGTGATGGCTGGCTTCAACGATTCAAAACAAGATATGGAATTCGACTGCTGTCTATATCTGGTGAAAAATTATCAGCACAACCACAATTAGTGCAACCATTCAAAGAAAAATTGATGAAAACAATTACCGAGCTAGATTCAAGAATGGAACAAATTTACAACGCAGATGAAAGTGGCCTTTATTGGAAAATGTTACCAGAGAAAACCTATGCTGCATCATTTGAAAAACCTGCCCTGGGAAGAAAGCCGGAGAAACAACGAATAACGTTTCTAGCCTGCACTAATGCTAATGGTTCACACAAAATAAAGCCACTGGTAATTGGGAGAGCAAAAAATCCGCGCTCATTTAAAAATGTTAATATCCCTGTTGATTATGACTGTTCAAAAACGGCTTGGATGACTAGCAGTATATTCCTGAAATGGTTCCACAGGTGCTTTGTCCCTCAGGTATGACAATCAATTATCACAAATGCTCTATTCATAATTTGAAGATGTGTTTTCAATTTGTAGGTATAAGGTTTCCTAAAACAACAGAAGCTTCCAATAAAAGCGTTGTTACTATTGGATAATGCACCTCCTGAGCAACAACTGAGGAGCAGGGATGGGTCAATTTTCGGCATGTACATGCCGCCCAACGTAACACCGTTAATTCAACCGATGGACCAGAATATAATAAGACTCACCAAACTATACTATAGGAAGTTTCTACTTTCGTCTGTCTTATCAAAGAATCTTGAAAACTTATCTGAGGCTTTAAAAAAAGTAACATTACGAGAAGCTGTTTTAGATTTACATATGGCCTGGAATGAACTTAACCAGCAAACTATTCAAAAATGTTGGAACAATCTCTTTTGTACCAATAATGAAGATGATGAAGAAGACGATGTCCCCTTAAGCGTAATTAGAGAACGTTTGCGATCCAATAATGATAATGTTAATAGTGTGTCATTGGATGTTGTTGATTTATTGAAAACAGTGAATCCCAACATTGTTTGTACTCCTGCTGATATTAATTTATGGAACGAAGATAAGCAGACGAATGATGCTGATAAGGAGGAGGATATGGACAGTGAGGATGATGAGAATGATCCCATTGAAGTCAGAAGTGTAGTGACTGACGCGCAAGCTTTATAAGTTTTTAACCAAGCTTTAGATTGGCTGAAAGAAAAGAAGTTTCATACACGGATATTTTAGTTCTTCGTAAATTACGTTCGCAGGCATTGGAAGACAATGCTAAGCGCAAATTTACGCAGACAAAAATTGTTAATTATTTTTCTTCTAATTAAAAAAATACTTATCGCTGTTAGAATATTTGTTTATTTTGTTATAAATAGTTGTATTACACGTTTCTTTTAATAAATCAAATATTATATAAATCACGTTCGCTAATGTAAACATTTCGATAATGTGAATCACACTAGGATTAAATTAGTTTACATTATCGAGCGTCTGCTGTAATAGAAGTCCTGGGAGACCAGCAAAAAGAAGTTAGTTCGTACTACCCCCCAGCTAAGTGGTTTCCAGCAAAAGCAAAATTAAAAAAATCACCTTCGTAGGTGCTTGGCTAAGCAAAGGTAACCAAGGGTAGGAAGTCCCAGATGTAAATAAGAACCCTCGAACAATGAGCTCCTCGTAGACGTGAATCCTACTTATATGGGGATGTCCAAAACGGACGCTGGAAAGTAAACGCATATTAAAACAAGAAAGATTGATATTCAAATCAAGTTGGGTATTTTATTTTGAAGGTTCATTCATACAATTTATGTATGAAAAATAATATCGCTCAAATGTTCACCAAGACTGGATTTACAGACGTCCACGCGATGGTCGAAATTTTCAATGACATTTTGCAACATGGTCGGTTCTATGGCATTTATCTCGGCAATGATGTTGTTTTTGAGTTCTTGGAGGGTGGCTGGTTTGTTGACGTACACTTTGCTTTTCAAATATCCCCATAAAAAGAAGTCCAAGGGTGTCAAATCGCACGATCTTGGTGGCCATGGCACATTTCCTCTGCGTGAAATCACGCGATCACCGAAGAAGGACTGCAATCGATGGATATTGACGTTGGTTGTGTGGCATTTTGCACCGTCTTGCTGGAAATAAACATCGTCCATATCCATTCCTTCAAGTTGCGGCAAAAAATAGTCCTCTATCATCACGTGATATCGCTCAGAATTGACGGTAACGGCATCCCCGGCCGCATTTTCGAAAAAGTAAGGTCCGATGATGCCTTTTGACCACAATGCACACCGCACAGTTACTTTTTGAGGGTGCTGCTCTTGATATTCACAGGGATTTTCGTTCGCCCAGATGCGGCAGTTTTGCTTGTTTACTGTCCCATTCAAAGTGAAATGCTCTTCGTCGCTGAACATGATTTTTGATGAAAAATTGGAATCAATTTGGCGGTGTTCAAGGAGCCAATCTGAGAACGTTCGGCGCGAGAAATGGTCGGCCCGACGCAGCTCTTGCGTCAATTGGATCTTGTAGGCGTGTACATTCAAATCCTTGTGGAGAATGCGGAGCAAACTGGTTCTCGAAATGCCCAATTCTTGGGATCGACGCGTTGTTGATTGTTTCGGATCGTCTCTCACACTCTCCTGCACAACAGCAATATTTTCCGGTGTGCGAACGCTCCTTGGCCGGCCAGAGCCTGGCAGATTTACCACAGAACCTGTTGCCTCGAATTTACGCACCAGACGACCGATGGTTGTTTCGTTTGGGCGGTTGTTGCGATCGAAATGTTCACGAAGCGCGCGAAACGTGTTTTTTATTTTTGCACCATTTTTGTAGTTCTCTTGCATAACTTTAATGCGGTCTTCAATCGAATACGACTCCATAGCGATCAATGGTAAACATTCAACTAACAAAATGACATGTCGGTGACAGAAAACAAAGATGGCGTCCATGTCAAATTGACGTTTACTTTCCTGCGTCCCTATTGGACAACCCAGTAGATTGTTTCGGAGTGATAATGGAGACGGTTCGATGGTTTAAGTGTAGCTGCAACAACGGCTAAATCCCCAGGAGGGTGAGAAAAGGGCCCCGACAGCAATTTCTATCAAAATCTCCACAACCCGGCAAATCTCGAGCACCGAGTGCGAAATTGCGTCACTAACGCAGCTGGTGGCCGCTGAACTGCTACACGAGAGCACCGGAAATGGCACCAAGTCTCGTTCAGCTCACGTATTTAAGGTCGACTGAAATTACGAAAAAAATGAGTTTTAACCTCACGACGACAATTCTATAACGAAACAATTCCCGTTCCGTGGCTATCCTGCGTTGACCATACCGCACGCCCTCTATTGTCGAACAGAAACATCAAACCACATCCCTGCAATGACCTTTGAAGAGATGGAGAGTATAGTACGATCCTCCAACATTAGAACAAGAGGAGTCTTTTGCGTTTGCGATAAAAATAAAATTGAATTTTTTTAAGAACTTATTATTCGAAATAAGAAAAACGTTGTAATAATTTACTTTATCAAGATATAGATATAGGTAAACTTTATCTGAAGTCACTTGAAATAGCATAAAAACCTTTGGTCGGCGCGTCCTTTGTAATTTCATGACGTATCATAGGCGTGCGGTCATTTATTTAGAACGATAATAATAATGTTTTTATATCACAATAAATGGATTTTACTATCTTCTTATTTTTTTGATTTGGGATAAAAAATACTTATATTGGGAGTTTAATTTATGTTGACTGAAAGTTAAGAAATGGAAAAATTACAGAATTCCAACGTTTGACATAGGCAAATATTTACATAGCAGGTAGGTATATAAAAAGGTATATAAAGACTTACATTATAGGTATTTATATATCATCCTCGCCTCCGGAGCTGTCGCTAGAGTCATCTTGTAGAGGAATTACAACGGGATTTACAGGAGGCAAAACACAATATTCATTTTCTTTTTCAATAATATGCCTAGAACACTGCTTCCATAGGTCTGTGACAGCAATATGAGATACTGCATCTCTTATTGTGGCCAATAGCGATTCACTTAATTGAGGGGTCTGATTATGTTTTCTTACTTTTTTTTTAAAGCAGCCCAGACCAACTCAATCGGGTTAAAAATGCAGTAATAGGGTGTGGAAATGTGGGAATAAGATCCAATAATATGGCTTTGGTTGATTTTTGTGGTATTTCCATTCCCTTATCCTTCATAAAATCAATAATGTCTTGTTTTTTTGTGCCTGTATTCGGAATTTTGTTTTTCTGTCGGGAATGGTATGGCGCATTGTCCATAATAATCACTGAATTTGGGGAAATGTTTGGTATTAACTGCTGCTCTATCCACTTTTCAAATAAGTCGGAGGTCATGTCCTCATGATAGTCGGCACATGATTATTTGATATTTTTGGCAGATAACAGCAAGGCATTAGGTATAAATCCATTTTCACTGCCAGCATGGAGAATAATGATTCGCTTTCCACGGTTGCATGGTGCATTTAAAATGCACTTGTTGCTGTCGTCAACCCAGCCGTACTGCACAACATCGTGGGTATCATACCACGTTTCATCCAGGTAAATCAGATTTCTTTTCTGCTCTCTATAGATTTTAACTTTGTGCAAAAATTCTTGGCGCAATTCAACGATTCGAGACGACTCCATAATCACCATTCTTTTATCTAATTTTTTGTATTGAAAACCATATAGTTTTACAATACAGTGCAGTGAGTCTAAGCATTTGTAATTATAAAAATCTTCAGGATAATCTTTTAATTTATCCCGTATCATTTCCAACGTGGGCACCAAATTTTCTTTATAAAATCCGTATATTATACGACGAATATCTTTCTGAAAACCCACGTCTATTCTTTTTAATTTTTGCCCTATGCGCTTTCTGTGGAAGGAATGGTTGACTACATCTCCCCTTTTTATAACCCGATAAATGATAGACCGACTGATTTTTGTCAGGATACAAATTCTGTTTAAAATTTGATTTTGCGAGGAATCTGGATTTTCGTTTTTCAGACAATCATACATATTTAGGATTACTCTTTGGGTCTGTTCCTCTAAATCTTTATGAAAGAATTCTGCCTGCGCAGGTTCATCAACTATCTCCTCGTGGCTTGGAGAATTTTCCCAAGGTCTCCAAAGAGCCATATTTAGGACACACAAGAACAATCAACACAACAATTAAATCAACAAGTAAACTGAGTATTCAAAAGTCAAAAACACACAAACTAATAAAATCTATGAAAAAACACGGACAGACTAAAGAAAACACGTTTATTCACCGCTACATGGCACTGGCTAAATTGTTTCAATTTTCAGTAGCCACCTGCACTTGTTCGGAGCTCTGAAATACACGCTTTCTCATTGGCTATGTCCACGCATAGGCGTGCTTTACTCCACGTGGACCGGTGAAACTGCCTTTGATCTTATACGGGGGATATTTGCTTCGAAATTTGGCGATTTTTGCAGCAACAGAGCGTGTTAAATATAGATATATAAAACGCACCCGGTATTTCACAGTGTTTCAAGTGACTTCAGATAAAGTATATATATTTAACCTTTACTTGAACGTTGAATATTTTCGTTTTTAGGTCAGTATCAGCCGCGGTGAGCGACGAATCGGTGGCCGGCGACAGCGGCGTGTTCGAAGCGTCCAACCGCAAGAGGGCGCCAGGTGGAGGTGTTGCTCAACTCGGCGTTGAAGTTGACGCGGACACGGCACAAGTACAAATCAAGCTAAAGTACGTCACTAGCGACAGCATGCTGATAGTCACTATCGAAAAGGCCAGGAACCTCGACGCGCTCTTCGTGCCTAACGATACGCAAGTGTAAGTGTTTCTATTTCTGTTTGTCCTAGTTCAATTCTAGGCCCCCTACTACTTTTACTAACCGTAGGCGATTCGAGAAGGGGTCTTTAAGTTCATTATAGCGCCTCTGCCTGCGCGACTATTTCGATACTAAAAGACTGATCTTTTTTATTTGTTTTAGGTATATAAAGACGGCGCTGCTTCCGGCGAATCCGGATAAATCAGTATTCACCACGAAATGCGTGAAGGATTTGAGGAAGGCCATTTTCGGCGACATTTTCAATATCTCAGTACCTGCCAATAAAATCTTCTCGAAGACGTTGCAAGTCAACGTTTGGAACAAGATCGAAGATACAGAAAAATGCGTGGTGAGTAAATCTTATCTGCTCAATGCGCAAGGAACCAAATTTGAGATACTGTTTTTGAAAAGGCAAAATAAAGTACTTGTTGTTTTAAACGAACGTATATTTTTAAATAAACTTGCGATTTGATGCTCCTAGCATACTCCAAAATAAAAAAATAATATTAAACGTATTTTTTTACAGACAAAAAGTATATTTTAAAAAAAGTAAATATTTCTGTTCTGGTTCCCTAATTTGAGATACAATTCGAAAAATGCCTTTTTTTTGCAGAAAGTGCAAATGAAAATTTTATTGGTAATCTTTATGTGCCCATCTACTACAATGGCTGTATTTTGCCCATTTTCACCCTTCTTATCTTCGGAAAATCGACCCGTACGAAATAAACATTCAGCATCCCTTTCATGTTGCTTTCGTCTGAAAATGAATCATCCAACTTTTCCGCTGGATTCTGTACTTGAACTGGAGGGTGAAGGTATCTATCCGAATCCTTTTGAGGCTTTTAAATAATCCAAATCCTTGCTATTGCGTTTCCAGGCATCTGCATCTTGATACAGGGGCTCTAATTTGAGGTAGTCTCAAGTTAGGAAAACTTGGTATCGCAAATTAGGAATTTTCCGTTAAAAAGTTTATACAAGCATATTTAGGTTATACAGGTATAAACTCACAATATTGTAAAAGAAAATAAATAAGGTATTTGTAAACTACTAAATTTATATCAGACAATTGTTCTAAATAATTAGTAGTAGTAGTAGAAAGATTTATTTAGCACATTTGGCTACATAAACAGAAAAATTGTAAACAACTTAGAACTAGTAAATTCAAGCCATATGGTGTATGATGTAAATGCTGGGCAACCTACAATTGTAGATTTAACAAGTGATTTCTCAATTTTACTTTAAATTTTGTCAAAGTTTTCTGATCTTTTATCTCCGAGTATAATTTATTATATTCAATCAACCCTTGATGGAATACAGATTTGTAGCATATGTTATACCTTTTGGTCATTAAATGGAAGTAATCTTTATTTCCGGTATTATATAAATGATGGTCGACATTTGATGATGTTAAATTAGTTAGACTTGATGGAAATATATAATTTTTTACTTTATAAATGAATATCATTACAAGATATTTGATAAAATTTTTTACATTGAGCCATTTAATTTGCTAAGCATTTGCCTAATTGGAGTATATTTATCTTTATTTAGTATTATTCTCATGCATTTATTTTGTAAAATTTGCAGTCTTTCAAAAATGGAATTATTTGCTAAATATAGAATAGTCAAACAGTACAAGAAATTTGGAAGAATGATGGTATTATAGATAATTTTTCTGCTACATGAACTCAGACATCCAGAAACTCTCGATAAATATCCCACTTTACTACTAATCTTATTTATAACTTTTTCATAATGAATATCAAAAATTAATGGAGAGTCAACAAAAACCCCCAGGTATTTAAAATTTTCTACGAATTCAATATCTTCACCATCAATATTCAATTGAACATTTGTACATTGTTTTTTTTTCGATTAACAAGGCTTTCGTTTTACTTGCATTTAATTTTAGTCTGTTAGATGCTAACCATTTTGAGACAAGTTTCAAATCTTCATTTATATAAGAGATACCAGACTGAGTATTTTTAGTACTTATATAAATCATAATGTCATCGGCGAAAATCTGAATTTTGCATTTTTTTGACTATGGCAGGTATCATTTATGTATAAAATAAAAAGAAGTGGTCCCAGGATACTGCCCTGTGGAACACCCAACCTATTTTCAATTTTTGATGAAATAGTGTCATTAACTTTTGTAACTTGCATCCTTTTAGACAAATAATTTCTAAACCAATCTAAAACACTTCCTGTTATACCATACGCCTTCAATTTACCTAACAAGATATCTCTATCAATCGTTTCAAATGCCCTCTTCAAATCCAAAAATACTGCTATGACAACTTCTTCTGAGTCTATGGCTCTTCTCCAATTCTCAGTTACCAACTGGAAAGCTGTTTCTGTGGAATATTTTTTTACAAAGCCTGCTTGCGCCTGCACTACAATTTTGTTTTCTTCTATAAACTGCATTAATTGGTCATGCACTATGGACTCTAATAATTTTTCAATGTCTGGTAACACATTTACTGGTCTCATATCGCTGCATCTTTTAGAATTTTTTATTTTGGGAACTGGTGTTATTGTAGAGCGTTTCAAATTCTCAGGAAAAGAACTGCTTCTCAGTGAAAAATTGATCCAATTTAATACAGGATATCCCAAAATTTCGAAACAGTTTTTCAGCACGTTTTTAGTAGTGATTTCGGCACAGTTGTTATTTGATTTTAAACTGTTTACTTTTTTTCTTAGATAATTCAATGATACGGTGTGAAATTTTGAAAGTGTATGCAACATTTCCCTCTGGAAACTGATTTTCATATAGTCAGGTGCAGCATTGGCAGTACCCACAATATCAACAATACTTTCCACAAAATATTCATTTAGTTTGTTTGCAATCACCAAAGAATTTGTTTCGGTACCGTTTTCGAATTGAACTTGATTTACACAATCATGCGGCTTCGAATTGATCAGTCTTTTTAAAGTCTTCCACGTCTTTACACTGTCGCACTTGTTATTATCGATTTGTTTATCGTAGAATTTTCTTTTTTCTTTTCTAATTACATATACACATTTATTCCTAAGAGTTTTATATACCTCCCAATCATCATTTGATTTTGTGAATATACATTTATTGTATTGTTTGTCTCTCAAATTTTGAGCTGCCTTAATATTCTTGTTATACCAGGGTGTATTTTTTGTCGAGCAAATCAGTTTTTTATCAGTTGCAAGATCTAAACAAGTTTTTATATTTCCTATTATGTTGTCATATATTTTTTCCATATTCTCACCAAAATTCCAATAGCAGCCAGCAAGTTCTCGTTCAAGTTTTTCGTACTTAATAGTATTTACGATTTTCTTAATTTTTGTATCAGAAAAATGCCCTACCAAGGACAGCATTGTCCAACTGTGATCGCTAACTGTAGATGTATGTACAGCTTTAATCCCTGCACATTCGAAATTTACAATAACAAGATCTAACAAAGTCTCTGATAATGATGTTATTCTGGTACTCTCTTCAATTTTTTGCTTGAACCCATAGTTGTTTATGGTTTCTTTCAATTTTCTTGTTTTCATGCTTTTACCATAATAATTTAAATTAAAATCACCTAAAAGTATTATATTGTTCCTAAAATTCCACATTTCTTCGCATTTTTCTTCAAAAAACGTTAAAAATGTATCTGCATCACTGTTTGGTGAACGGTAAAAAGTACAAAGATCATAACGTTTCCCAAATAATTTGAACTGTATATGTGCATACCAGTATGCATAGTCTAAAGTGGTACAATCGAATAATGTGATCTGTATTTTGTGGTAAACATAAATCACTACACCTCCAGTATGTCTGGAGTTGGAGTTGCATCTGTAGGTTTTATAATTAGTAATTTGTAATTCACCATCAGTGATGTCTTCTGTAGCATGTGTTTCGGTAAGACATAATACAAGTGGTTTTCTCCATCTTAAAAACTGTTGAACTTTTGTTTGTTCTAAATAATGTGCAAAACTAAACTGTAAACACATGTACGATACTACTGCGTCTTAGTTCACGACTTTTTGGTATTACTAGAAGATGGTGCTACAAAGATACACACAAATTTTGTTCCTTTCCTCTATATTATTTTGCATTTTTGTTTAAATATATGAAGATTGTTCGATCTTGGTTTGCTTTGATTTCGTATGATTCAAAATTAAAAAAATGTATGTATTTTCTACAGAAATTACTGTAACAATTGAAAATATTCCTCCGGAAACTCACCAAAATGTGATGGAAAATGTAATCAAGAGGGCTCAGGATCGTCTGATATTATTTTTCATACGTAACTTCTAAGTTTCAATAAAAGATTAAGATGAAAAAATTGCACATTTCACAAATATTCAAGCTACAAACCGGTCAGTTGCATATCGGCCACCCTGTACAACACCAATAACACTGGACAACAAATTTTAGTTTTTTAATTGTATCTTGTGGGAAAAGTGCACTTCTTTGTTAATTTTGGTGCGCTGAATCCAAAAATGACAATGACATAAAAAAATTAGTTGCGGTTTAGAAAAAAAACTTTTTATTTTTAAGGATATATTAAAAAAAGTAACAAGATTCATATACTTATAAGAATCACTATATGCGCTGTATTTTTGCTGTTCTTTTATGGATCGTTTCTGGAGCATCTCTACCAAGAGTCCAACAGTAGTCTGCAAGCATGGAAGGATTCCACTTTCCCTGGTACCTTTTTTCCATTGTTGAAATATCCTGATGAAAACGTTCACCGTGCTCATCACTTACGGCTCCGCAATCGTCAGGAAAAAAGTCCAGGTGTGAGTGTAGAAAATGTATCTTAAGAGACATATTACAGCCCATCTTTTGATACGATGACAGCATATTTTTGACAAGGGTTTTATAGTTGTCAGCTTTTCTATTTCCCAAGAAATTAGTGACCACCAGACGGACATCATTCCAAGCAGTTTTTCCAATACCTGTTAAAGTGTTTTCAAACTGTGTCTCTTTCAAAATATTCCGAATCTGTGGCCCAACAAAAATACCTTCTTTAACCTTTGCCTCACTTAGTCTTGGAAATTTCTGTCGCGGGTATTGAAAAGCTGACCCATCTCTATCTAATGCCTTGACAAAGTTTTTCATTAGGCCCAACTTGATATGCAGTGGTGGCCACAAATATGCCATTGGTGCTCATCGTATTTTATGCGGGTCAATAGGTACTTCATATTGTCATATGATTCTTTCATGTGAACGGCATACCCTACAGGAAGAGATGGTAAAATATTTCCAATATGCAATAACACTGCCTTTAAACTCAATGTTGAACTGTCTATAAACAATCTCCATTCTTCTGGGTTATAGTTTATATTTAAAGCCGCCAGTAAGCCGTTAATGTTACTGCAGAAAACCAAGTTATTCTCCATATTGAAAAATGGTTCTAAGTCTTTGTGGCGTTTACGAAAAACACATACCGAAACATCGTCTTCTAACAAGTTCCACTGCTGCAGTCTTGATCCAAGTAACTCTGCCTTACATTTTGGAAGTTCTAAATCTCTTACAAAATCATTTAATTCTGACTGTGTTATTTTGTGCGGTTGGTGGCATGACGTGCTCGGTATAAAATCAGGATCTCTTGACGTTGATGGCATATCTTCTTCCTGACGAATCACTCGATCGCCATGATCTGATTCGTTTTCTGATTCGTAAGTGTAGGATTTTTGTCACTGTGAGGCACAGGTCTCATCGCAGATGATATGTTTGGGTAGTTAATAACCGATTTTTTTTTTCTTGCACATACCTGTGGCTGGTCCAACACAAGGTACCATGCAAAAGTAACAATCATTAATATGATTTGTAGGCTCTCTCCAAACCATTGGGACAGCAAAGCGCATAGACCGTTTTTTGCCATTTAACCAGCTGCTCAGACTTGAAGCACATGTATTACAGCAGATGTGGGGTGCCCACTGTTTGTCTTGATCACCTAGTTTACAACCGAGATAAAGCTGATATGCCTTTGTTATTAGTGGAGTAATAGACCGTCTCTGAGACGCAAAAGTCACATCACCACATACGTAACAAAACTGATCTGGATTGTTTACACACTTTCGAGACATCTTGCATGAACGCTGTCAAAATGGCTAATATAAAGCAATATAATGTACACGTATGTATAACGTAACACAATCATGCCGATTACATCATCTTTCCTTGCCGAATATAAAAATGTAGCACGTGCATTCTTGTGAATTACAGTATATTAACACTGTCACAGCAGGAACACATATAATTACCGTATCTCTAAAACTTGAACTAATATTGAAAAAATTCCGGTTTTAGCACATTAAAAATAGTAATATTTTGTTGATTTTATTTAGGATATTTTTTGGCTGTTGATCAGTGATAATTATAATTATCATTAGGGATGTGCGCAAGTGAGCCTGGCCGATCTGAACGTGAACAGCGTCTCGCAGAAATGGTACAACATCCTGAGCTTGCAAGACGAGATGCCTCGGCCGACAGACAAACAGACGACGAGTCAACACGCGAAGCAAGAGTCCGACGTATCCAAGCAAAGCGGACCCGAGGATTCTGACGATTCGACGATCTCCCAAACGTCGACGTTAACCAGGAACCAAGCCGTCTTTCCGCAGATCAGCCTGCTGGAAAATTCGGACGACTCCACCATATCGCAAACGTCAACGTTGACGCGCGGTCAGGAGACCATCTTCCCTCAGTTGAACCTCAGCGAGCTGTACAACTGCCTGAGGAACACCAAAGGGTAAGAAAAATGATACATGTTCACATCTTGATCTTATTAAATATTTCGAGAATATTTGCGAGGAAATTCTACCAGTAACAAGTATAAAGTAAAGTAAAAGCCGATATTTACAAGCAACTACAAGTTAGCTTTCTTGACTTGCGATTGAAAAACAGTTCCTATGAGTTTGTGTTTCGATTCATATAGTTACTTACAGTTTTTCTGATGACGTGTTTTTTTTCAAGATACGTGAGCGAGTCCGAAGACGACCTGGACGAATGCGACGAGGAGGACGACGAGGAGGACGAAGACGAGGACGTCGAAGAGGAGGAAGAGGAGGGGATAACGGTGGAGTTCCGCCCGAACGCCGGCGAACGATTGGACGTCGTTCACGAGAGGGCGGAGCATCTCGCCGAAGAGGAGGAGCCGCCGGAGTACACGGACAAACAGACGAACACCGAGTGCACGTTCTATCCGGAGCACGCGAAGCAGATGAAGTTGCAGGCGCAAGCGGCTGGAGCGAACGGCGCGGCGACTGTCGTCGAGGATAGGGGGGCGATCAAGAGGTCGCAGACGTTCTCGCCAAGTGCACAGGTACGGGTACTATAAAAGTGTTGAAATACTACAGCTTTATTTATTGACAAAACCAGTCCTTTAGCCAGCTCTGCCAAAGAAGGTCCTTATCGCTAGAAAACGTTTTCCTTTTAGCTTCACTTTCACACGCGGGAATAGTGCAACGTCGCACGGAGTAAGATCTGGACTGTAAGGAGGGTCCTGAATAAGTTTCAGTCCAGTAGCGGTCAAGTTTATCCGCAAATTTGCAAAGTAGTTTTATAAGCCAACAGTTTGGATTTCTTTCAAAACGCTCCACAGAGCTATTGTTTTTATCATTCACAAACTATGTTTTGGAATCCTTAGATGAAGGTTATTCTGTTCACGTAGTTTATACAGATTTTTCTAAAGCATTCGATAAGGTCAACCATGGTATAAATTACATTGTCTAGGAATTTGCGGGGATCTTTTATCATGGCTGAAGTCATACCTCACTGACCGAAAACAAATAGTGCGTATACAAAGCTTTCAATCAAAAGAGATTAATGTGCCGTCTGGAGTACCTCAAGGTTCCCGTCTGGGCCCTCTTCGAAGTTGAGTCATTTATTTTAACAGTGAGTAGATCTGATCAAAAGAAATGTTTTTTCCTTTAACATTTTTCTGGTAAAATTAAAGTAACAAAGTTATAGCCCTTTAGAAGTTTGAGTACCGCCCTGTCTCAATAATAATATTATGTGCTCGTGTTCGGCGACAACGGATATAATCCGCCGTATCGGTTCATCGCATCGGAAACAAAAAAGCGAAAGAATTTGGAACGATGTTTTTACAATTATTTTATTCAGTTGTATACAGTCAGTGTCAGTCGGTAACGCGTGAGTGAATAGTGGTGTCTGTTGCGTGGCTCAAACGAAATCAAAAATGGCACATGTTTACGAAAATGCTGAACTTGTGGACATGATTCTTATTTACGGGGGGAGTCTTTACAAAATGCTGCCGCGGCATCACGGATTTATGGGGATCGGTTTCCCAATCGAGTGCAATCAACCCTTCATGCCTTTGTTAATGTAGTACAAAGGGCTCGTGAATCAGGTGACTTAAGACCTCATAGGGGAGGGCATGCCGGTGCTCCAAGACCGCACGATCAAATACAGGTCCGCACTGAAATACTTGTCGGGAGGATACTATATAAAACAAGGTAAAAATTTTTTTTTAATTTTTTTTTATTTTTACACATATTTTGATTTATCTTCCTTCTACAATCATTATCTGAAAATTAATGACTCAACTTCAAAGTCACCCTGTATACGTGAATGATATTATATACTGTTTTAAGTCTGTTAGTTTTCTGATGTTTGCAGATAATTTGAAATTATTCTTAAAAATCAAATATAATAATGATTATTGAAATATCCAAAATGATTTGAATTCATTAAGTCTCTGGTGTAAAATGAATAGAATGGAACTTAATGTGGAAAAATGTCATTTAATGGTCTTCAGCCCTAACAGGGATCCCATTGATCATACTGATATCATGAAAGGTTGTCCTCTAAAGAGTGTATCCCAAGTTAGGGATTTAGGGGTAATTCTTGACCCAAAATTATCTTTTATTACCCATATAAATATGATTGTTTCAAAATCTCAACTTTCATAATATTCAATCATTTAAAACGTTGTTTTGTTCATTGGTGAGGCCCCATCTGGAGTATTGTTCTTGTGTTTGGTCACCCAACTATAATGTTCATATTCAGGCAATTGAGAGAGTGTCACATAAATTCTTAAGATTCATTTCATTCAAACAAAACATTATGGTTGAAGATATCATCTATTCCGTCATTGAAAGCTCTCTCAATATCTCAACCCTTCAGGTAAGACGGAATCAGAGGGACCTGTCACTATTTTATAATATTTTGCACTCTCTTAGTTTTGCTCCAGAACTTTTGAAAAATATTAATCTCCATGTGCCTTCTCGCCAAACAAGACAGTATCAACCATTCCATGTGAGATCATTTCGTACTAATTATGCTAGTAATTCCTTCCTGTCTAGATCGTCAAGGTTAGCAATATTCTAATAAGTTGGATTTCTTCAGAAGTCAGAAAACATTCAAAATTCAATTAGGTTCCTGTCTGTAATATTTAATATTTGATTTCCCCATATATTTATATTTTAATTAAATTCGTTTCAATTTAGAAATGATCTGGATTTTAAGGTGTTTGGGATTGTTTTAAGTGTTAAATAGCTAAGTCAAAGTAGGGTTAGGTTTACATTGGATTTTCTATGTTGTACTTTAATTTGGCAGTCGCTCGTTGATAAATAAAAAAAAATAAATGAGTGACTGTCTTCTGTGTGTCCAACACGACACGCTCCACAATCCCGCCCGATTTGAAAAATACAGCTACCATTTTTTTCTTAACAGATCGAGACTTTTTGACAGCTACGGGTGTGTCATCATCAAAGACCCAAACTTTGTTTTGAGCCTTGGTCGGCTAATCGTAATAATAGAGCCAAATCTTGTGATCTATCACGATGCTGTTCACATAACGAGACACTGGCGGATTTAGAATTGGGGCGCGGGAACTCTCTGTACCACCTGAATATAGTCGTACGTTGAGGACAATCGTTCTTTAATGCAAGCTTCTTTTCTTCTAAGCTTAAACTGCCCTTTGCGCACGATGCCATAGTCCGCACTGTACACTGTCAATACGAATGAACAGCTAAATCAATAGACGCTCTGCTGGCGGCTACTATAATAATAATAATAATAATAATATTTATTTACTCAATGTACAAAGATAACAAACAATATGAGTAAATAAATATAAAATCAAAACAGGCCCAATAGAAGGCATCGCCTGTACATGGACCAATAAATTTAAGTTGAAACTGTAGAATGCAAATGACAAAAAAGGACAAAAATTAGCTACAGTAGATTATGTATTTACTTGATGTTCGTATTTATGAGTTTATGAATTTCAGTCCTAGATATAGAATGTAGCCACTTTTTTAAATTTTTTTTGAAACAATTTCCGAAACGTAAATCTTTTAAGTCTTTAGGTATAATTTCATAAAATTTAGGCGCTAAATAGAGATATGATCGCTGCATTATAGATTTATGTGGTTGAGGAACTACTGTGCCACGAATTTTGTACCTGGTATAATGATTATGTTTAATTTTTTGGTCGGTGTTTACAAATTAAAGCTGTCTTATATCATACATTCGAACATCTGCATATAATTTTTCAGTGGGATAAAGTTTCGGTTTTTTAAATATCATTTTTAGAATACTTTTTTGAAAAACATCTAAATTATTGATATGTGAGGAACATGCAGCTCCCCATGCTAATATACCATATGTGAGATGAGGCTCAATCAGTGCATGGTATAATGTTCGAAGATATTTTTCTGTCAATATATTCCCAAGGTATTTAATTTTGTAGGATACAAATCTAACTTTCTTTAAAATATAATTGACATGGATGTCCCATCGTAAGTGAGGATCCAAGACCACTCCAAGGTATTTTATGTTGGGCACTCTATTAATTTGCATTTTTTATCATTAATATTGAAGGAGAAATTTGTGTAATTTGGCAGATGTCTAGCATAAGATCCAAATGGTAAAAAATGTGTTTTAGAGTAGTTAATGCTTAATTTTCAGTGCCTTCATATAATATTGCAGTATCGTCTGCAAAACTAGTTATTTTGCCAACACAATTAATTTGGAAAATATCATTTAAATATATATTGAATAACAGCGGACCTAAGACAGTTCCTTGTGGGACACCACACTTAATATACATTTCTTTACTAAATGATCCTGATATCTGCACAGATTGTGGGCGATTTGACAAATAACTTTCGATCAGTGAGTACGCGTTTCCTCTGAAACCAATTCTCTCCAATGCTTCTAATAATAATTTGTGATTAACTATGCACTCATGGACATGTCTCAACATGCGGCCAACAGTCTTATAGTAACCGTATACAATTTCGTTTGCAGGTATCTAAAAACCAGTACATCTGCAAGTTGAACCGGAGCGATAGCGACAGCGCGATGCCCTTGTACAGGCGGGGCAGCAAACCTTTCGAGAGGCACGCCGTGGAAAGGAGGTCGCTGAGGTTCAGGAGGCCGGGATCCAGCGTGCAGCTGTGCAGCACCAAAGCCAAATCCAACGCGCCTGCCACCGCTAGGACATCCTTGGACCTTGAGCTCGATCTACAGGTAAGAATCTGAGATAAAGGCACTGTCTTCGTCATTATCATTACCTATTTATTTATTTAAATGAACATCTTATGTATCGAAGATGCTTGAAAATAATAGAAATTTTCAGTGTTGCAAGGTGGCATTTATTGATCTAAAAATTTTAACTGTACTATGTATACAGGGTGTTTCAGTTTATTGTTGCATAACTTTAAGATTCGATAGAAGTTTTAAAAAGAATGCATAAAGTCTATATAAACATGGGTCGAAAAATGCGTGGCTTCCGAAATATAGGGTGTTTAAATTTACTTTCTAAAATAGTTTTTTTTAAATATTTCGAACAATATCTGATGTATAACAGTAAAAATTGGTATACAAGGGTTTTTTGGTACGACAAAAAACGAACGATGGGCATAGTTTTACTGTAGCCGCTAGAGGGCGCTCTCTACTGTACCTGTAGTGTATTAAAATGACCGAAAATTTTTTCTTAGTGCAATTTTTTGCTTTTTGAATAAAAAAACTGATTCTCCGCACTTTTCTGCATAAAAAAACTCTCCCGTGAGTTTTCGTTATAGTTAGCCGTTTTTGAGATATTTCGATTTTTAAGGTTCGATGCATTTTTAAATATTTATGATAAAATAACATTAAAAAGTCAGTATCTCGATAATTTTTAGAAGTAGGCTGAGCTGCAAATATTTTTGAAATTGAAAGCAGAATAAGGTTAAACGCCTCCACGATCCCCTGACCTAAATCCATTAGATTTCTTTGTGTGGGGATTTATAAAAGAAAAAGTGTACCAGACTCCCGTAACCACAAAAGATATGCTAATAGACAGAATCAGGAATGCATGTGATGAAATAAGGCCTTATTTGAATAATGCTATACCACGTTCGATCATTCGTAGATGTGAATTGTGTATTGAACAATTGGGTTTACAGTTCGAGCAACTACTTTAGACTTTGTATGTTTGTCCTAATTTGTTAAAAATAATATTGGAAAATTAAACAAATTAATATTCTGTTTTTTTGTGTTTATTTGGAGTTAGGAATTATTGCTGTGTTTAAAAACACAATCTAAACGATCATCTTAATTACTTGTAATGCCCAAATCGAAAATGTAAAAAAAAAAAAATTTACCCATAAATAATTAAAAATGCATCGAACCTTAGAAATCGAAATATCTCAAAAACGGCTAACTATAACGAAAACTCACAGGAGAGCTTTTTATGTTGAAAAGTGCGAAGAATCAGTTTTTTTATTCAAAAAGCAAAAAATTGCACTAAGAAAAAATTTTCGGTCATTTTAATACACTACAGGTACAGTAGAGAGCGCCCTCTAGTGGCTACAGTAAAACTATGCCCATGGTTCGTTTTGTCGTACCAAAAAACCCTTGTATACCAATTTTCACTGTCACACATCAAATATTGTTCGAAATATTTAAGAAAAACTATTTTAGAAAGTAAATTTAAACACCCTGTATTTCGGAAGCCACGCATTTTTGGAACCATGTTTATATAGACTTTATGCATTAATTTTAAATGTTCTATCGAATCTTAAAGTTATGCAACAATAAACTGAAACATCTTGTAGACTTATTGGATGTGTTGTAATCAAGAACTTCACGAACATTTTATTAAGAATCACTTTTTTATGTTCTAACCGTTAAAACAAGATAGCAGATGACCTTGATCTAATTCCTTATTAATCTTTCTCATATGTTATACCGATTCGTCATCCTAACCCGCCAATACAAATCCAGCGAGCTAGAAAAAACAAAGACACTCCCATCCGTTTTAGACGTAAACAAGAGAGGCGCATGTATTTTGCAAACGATGATCGTATTGGTCGACGGTCGACCAGTAAAAATAAAACATCTTCTGTACGGACGAGAATTTCTTATCTTTACGCTCGGTCTTGCGTTTTTTGTTGTTTTTTTTGCAAAGTAATCCTTTCAGGTATTTGTTCGGATTGGTTAAACAGGTATTGGTCAATCTGTGTATCAATAAGAGTCTAGGATTTATAATTCTCGCTTTTTATCGTGTTATATTCGCAGTTTAGTGCGAAAGTGAACTATGAGGTATTTTTATTTAAAAACAGTTCTATTGCATTTTTATCTTCAGTAAAAAAGTCAGTAAGGCGATTAAGATGAGCTACTTGGTTGATGAACAGTTAACACAGGAAAGTAAACGCATATTAAAACAAGAAAGATTGATATTCAAATCAAGTTGGGTACTTTATTTTGAAGGTTCATTTATACCATTTATGTATGAAAAATAATATCGCTCAAATGTTCACCACGACTGGATTTACAGACGTCGACGCGATGGTCGAAATTTTCAATGACATTTTGCAACATGGTCGGTTCTATGGCATTTATCTCGGCAATGATGTTGTTTTTGAGTTCTTGGAGGGTGGCTGGTTTGTTGACGTGGACTTTGCTTTTCAAATATCCCCATAAAAAGAAGTCCAAGGTAGTCAAATCGCACGATCTTGGTGGCCATGGCACATTTCCTCTGCGCGAAATCACGCGATCACCGAAGAAGGACTGCACTCGATGGATATTGACGTTGGTTGTGTGGCATGTTACACCGTCTTGTTGGAAATAAACATCGTCCATATCCATTCCTTCAAGTTGCGGCAAAAAATAGTCCTCTATCATCACGTGATATCGCTCAGAATTGACGGTAACGGCGTCCCCGGCCGCATTTTCGAAAAAGTATGGTCCGATGATGCCTTTTGACCACAATGCACACCACACGGTCACTTTTTGAGGATGCATCGGCTGCTCTTGATACTCACGGGGATTTTCGTTCGCCCAGATGCGGCAGTTTTGCTTGTTTACCGTTCCATTCAAAGTGAAATGCGCTTCGTCGCTGAACATGATTTTGATGAAAAATTGGCGGTGTTCAGGGAGCCAATCTGAGAACGTTCGGCGCGAAAAATGGTAGGCCCGACGCAGCTCTTGCGTCAATTGGATGTTGTAGGCGTGTACATTCAAATCCTTGTGGAGAATGCGGATCAAACTGGTTCTCGAAATGCCCAATTCTTGGGATCGACGCGCTGTTGATTGTTTCGGATCGTCTCTCACACTCTCCTTCACAACAGCAATATTTTCCGGTGTGCGAACGCTCCTTGGCCGGCCAGAGACTGGCAGATTTGCCACAGAACCTGTTGCCTCGAATTTACGCTCCAGACGACCGATGGTTGTTTCGTTTGGACGGTTGTTGCGACCGAAATGTTCACGAAGCGCGCGAAACGTGTTTTTTATTTTTGCACCATTTTTGTAGTGCTCTTGAATAACTTTAATGCGGTCTTCAATCGAATACGACTCCATAGCGATCAATGGTAAACATTCAACTAACAAAATGACATGTCGGTGACAGAAAACAAAGATGGCGTCTATGTCAAATTGACGCTTACTTTCCTGCGTCCCTATTGGACAACCCTTTATTTTAAAAGCAAATTCATATTCTTTATTTTTTCCTGTTGTAACAACATTTTGGAATTGTCAATGAAACTTAAAAGTAGGGTCAAAATAATAGTCAAATAAAAGCAACTTTTGCAATGGCATATTTTCTACAAAATTTCATTTTTCGTTGCTGAAACAAATTTGTTATATTCACTTTCCAATTATAATGCATTTTATCATCGTTTTTACTTTCCACTCCTACTGGCGAGGAAGTATTGCAATCGCGAACAATTTCGATAATGAGATTATTGTTTTTATGTTATATGACATGTATACTACCGTTCAAAAGTATTTGAACACCCAGACAACATAGACACTGATGGAAGTTATTAAAGAAAACATTACAGTATCTGTATGAAACATTTATTTTCTTAACGCTTAACAACGTACAACTATTTATAATCAAAATCATCATATTTTTGACTCATCAATATGTCCTCCTTTACTTTTAATTACAGCTTGGCAAATGATGAAGTTATTTTTTATTACTGTTATTTTTTGTTTTTTTGCTACTGTTGTTTGTTTCAGTTTTTTACTTTTGTGTTTCATTAAAAATGTATATAAATTTTCCCCTTTCCATATTTTTCCCTAAATCGGGAGCCCAATCCGGCAACACCGCAGGCTAGCGTCTCTCATATATGACATATCCACAGACGTCAACGTCATATGGCAGATGGCGGTGGGAATAATGTAGTAGTAGTAGTAGTAGAAGTAGTAGAAATATTTATTTAGCACATTTGGCTAAATAAACAGAATACAGTGAAAGCTCCCATAAGCGGACACTCACGGTTCCGTAACTTTTGTCCGCTTATGGGAGGTGTCCGTTTAAAAGAGAGTATGTAAGTATAGAGTATAAATAACGGGGTATATAATCATGAGGAAATGAGGTATTATAATCATGAGAAAAATGAAACAGAAACTCGCCACATTTTTAAAGTATGTGTTTATGCTATATATCTATATAATATATGTACATATACGCATACAAAAACATAAATGCTTCAATACATGGTACGAGAATTTAAAAAAAACATTATTCTTTAGCTTGTTGAAATAAGTTTAAAATGTTTGTCTGATGAAATTTCACCATCTTTTGCTGAAGGAGACAATTTTCGTAATAACTTTCTAAATTTTTCAAATGTTGAAATGCAGTGAAATCATCTTTAGCAATTTTTTTCAATATAGAAATATGATTTAGAGCTTCCTCATATGAATTTATCGTTTTTGAACCGCTTAGTGAGTCCACCAGTTCCACTTCTTCTTCTGAGTCGTTTGGACTACCATATTCAAGTTGGCCTGGGCTTTCTACATCCAAATTCGAAAAGTTGCCAATGGCATTTTCTTCTGTTGTTATGTTATTGTCTATGGCCAGGAAATCATCTACTTTCTGGGGATCTGCTACTACTAAATGTTTGGCATGTCGCAGTAACTGAGCAAGTGTCGCTAAGGGCAGATCGTCTTCAGCATCGCAATAATTTTGCTCAGCAAATTCTGAGCTACATTCACATTTTCTGAATCCAGCTTTGCCAAAACAGTTTTTAATTGTAGAGGAATTTACTTTATTCCATGCTGTTTTTATAAAATACAAAGCTTCTAACACATTGATAGACTTTGTAAGCTCAGACAAGCTTTGACCATCGTCAATTTTTGTTAAAATATGTTTTAAAATCAAGTGCCGATAATAAAATTTAAAGTTCTGTATGACACCTTGATCCATGGGCTGACAAACAGAAGTTGTGTTTGGCGGTAAAAATATAATTTTCACATTTTTCATTTTCATATCACGAGGATGAGAGCATGCATTGTCTAAAAATAAAAGAACTTGCCTTTTTTGGATTCTCATTTTCCGGTCGAATTCGACTAACCACTCAGACATGATTTCTCGGGTCATCCATGCCTTTTTGTTGGATTTCCAAGTCGCTGGTAGATCCTTAATAGCAACGTTTTTTAAAGCACGGGGACGAGCCGCTTTCCCGATCACAATCAAATCGCATTTTTCACCGGCCATATTTGCACAGAATAAAATGGTTAGTCTATCTTTAGACAACTTTCCACCCACACATGTTTCTCCTTTAAAGGACAGAGTTTTGTCGGGCAATGCGCGAAAAAAAAGTCCACTCTCATCTGCGTTGTACACATCTTCTGGTTTGTTGCCAAGCAACATGGACGGAAGTTTCTCCAAAAATTGTGACACATCAACTTGATCTACTGCAGCAGCTTCGCCAGATATGCATTTGAAACTCACACTATGTCTCTTGCGCCACTTTTGCAGCCACTCGTCGGACGCACTGAAATTATTATAGCCCAAAGTAGTGGCGATTTCTTTAGCTTTCATTTTCACTAACGGCCGTGAGATTGGAATGTTCTGACTTCTAGCTTTCACAAACCACTCAAAACATGTTTTGTCTATAGCAAAACCTTCCTTTCTTAAAAAATCTTTTTGATTTATATTAGTTCCTGATTGCCATTTACTCCTGATATCTTCCTTATTTTTGGCAATTTCAGCTGCTTGCGTTTTCCCAATATTAAACCTCTTTGCCAAATGACGAATTGAAACACTTTCTCTGTCTAATACGTTAACAACTTCCATCTTTTCCTTTAACGAGAGCATCCTTTTTTTTGGTGCCATTTTACAGTTACAATAATAAAATACGTAACTCAATCAACTACGAATTTGCCTGAACTGAAGACAAGCCACAAGATTACATACAGGCTACCCAACGAAATGCGTAAATGGGGAATCACCTAATATAAATCGGGGAATTACCGAATTTTATGTATGTAGATATGTGCATTGCAATAAGCGGAACTAAAAAATCGTCCGGGTATTAGAGTTTCGCGTCCGCTTATGGGAGATTTTTTGATCACATACAGGAAAATCTAGTGTCCGCGTCCGTTTATAAGAGCGTCCGTTTATCGGAATGCATTTAACATTGAAAATTGATGGCTGAAATTCGGTTCCAGGAACTTTGTCCGGTTAAAAGAGATGTCCGCTTATAGGAGCTGTCCGCAAGGAGAGCTTTCACTGTAATTGTAAACAACTTAGAACTAGTAAATTCAAGCCATACGGTGTATGATGTAAATGCTGGGCAACCTATAATTGTAGATTTAACAAGTGATTTCTCAATTTTACTTTAAATTTTGTCAAAGTTTTCTGGTCTTTTATCTCCGAGTATAATTTATTATATTCAATCAACCCTTGATGGAATACAGATTTGTAGCATATGTTATTCTTTTTGGTAATTAAATGGAAGTCATCTTTATTTCTGGTATTATGTAAATGATGGTCGACATTCGATGATGTTAAATTAGTTAGACTTGATGGAAATGTATTATTTTTTACTTTATAAATGAATATCATTACAAGATATTTGATAAAATTTTTTACATTGAGCCATTTTAATTTGCTAAGCATTTGCCTAATTGGAGTATATTTATCTTTATTTAGTATTATTCTCATGCACTTGTTTTGTAAAATTTGCAGTCTTTCAAAAATGGAATTATTTGCTAAATATAGAATAGTCGAACAGTACCAGAAATTTGGAAGAATGATGGTATTATAGATAATTTTTCTGCTATATGAACTCAGACATCCAGAAACTCTCGATAAATATCCCACTTTACTACTAATCTTATTTATAACTTTTTCATAATGAATATCAAAAATTAATCGAGAATCAACAAAAACCCCCAGGTATTTAAAATTTTCTACGAATTCAATATCTTCACCATCAATATTCAGTTGAACATTTGTACATTGTTTTATCCGATTAACAAGGCTTTCGTTTTGCTTGCATTTAATTTTAGTCTGTTAGATGCTAACCATTTTGAGACAAGCTTCAAGTCTTCATTTATATAAGAGATACCAGACTGAATATTTTTAGTACTTATATAAATCATAGTGTCATCGGCGAAAATCTGAATTTTGCATGTTTTGACTATGGCAGGTAAATCATTTATGTATAAAATAAAAAGAAGTGGTCCCAGGATACTGCCCTGTGGAACACCCAACGTATTTTCAATTTTTGATGAAATAGTGTCATTAACTTTTGTAACTTGCATCCTTTTAGACAAATAATTTCTAAACCAATCTAAAACACTTCCTGTTATACCATATGCCTTCAATTTACCTAACAAAATATCTCTATCAATCGTTTCAAATGCCCTCTTCAAATCCAAAAATACTGCTATGACAACTTCTTCTGAGTCTATGGCTCTTCTCCAATTCTCAGTTACCAACTGGAAAGCCGTTTCTGTGGAATATTTTTTTCGAAAGCCTGCTTGCGCCTCCACTAAAATTTTGTTTTCTTCTATAAACTGCATTAATTGCTCATGCACTATGGACTCTAATAATTTTTCAATGTCTGGTAACACATTTACTGGTCTCATATCGCTGCATCTTTTAGAAATTTTTATTTTGGGAACTGGTGTTATTGTAGAGCATTTCAAATTTTCAGGAAAAGAACTGCTTCTCAGTGAACAATTGATCCAATTTAATACAGGATATCCCAAAATTTCGAAACAGTTTTTCAGCACGTTTTTAGTAGTGATTTCGGCACAGATTTTAAACTGTTTACTTTTTTTCTTAGATAATTCAATGATACGCTGTGAAATTTTGAAAGTGTATGCAACATTTCCCCCCTGGAAACTGATTTTCATATAGTCAGGTGCAGCATTGGTAGTACCCATAATATCAACAATACTTTCTACAAAATATTCATTTAGTTTGTTTGCAATCACCAAAGAATTTGTTTCGGTACCGTTTTCGAATTGAACTTGATTTACACAATCATGCGGCTTCGAATTGATCAGTCTTTTTAAAGTCACATCTTTACACTGTCGCACTTGTTATTATCGATTTGTTTATCGTAGAATTTCCTTTTTTCTTCTCTAATTACACATACACATTTATTCCTAAGAGTTTTATATACCTCCCAATCATCATTTGATTTTGTGAATATACATTTATTGTATTGTTTGTCTCTCAAATTTTGAGCTGCCTTAATATTCTTGAGGCAAATAACTGCTAAAAATACAGTGTTTGCGGGAAAAAATCACGAAAAGCGGACAAACTCTGTATAATAGTTGTGTGTTGTTTCAGGCGCAACATACGCGACTGGAGATGCTGAACTCCGAACTGGACAGGCTGCGCGAGCTGAAGCAGCGACTCGAGGAAGCGAAAGAACGCGGCGACACGGAAGTGGCCGCTTACCTTTTGGAAGACGAGCAGTTCCAGCGATTGATGGCGCATGCGGAGAGCAGAGCGGCGAGCAAAACGCCGGAGGAGAGGAAAGTCGAGAAAATGCTGAGGAAAGTCAGCAAGGAGATATACAAGTTGAGGAAATCGAAGGCGGGCAACGGAAAACCGGACCTCATTTCATTCAAGTAAGTTGAAACCGATTTTTCATAAAATTAAAGTGTTCCTGTGCTGAAAGTTCAAAATTCTCAGCTGTATGCAGACATGCGACCGATTAATGTCTTTGCGTGAAGTCGAGAAGCTGTTGAAGGGATAATATAGAATTCATTGAAGAAACCAAAATTTTGATGGTGGTGGAAGACTGGAGAAAAAGTATAGATGAGAAAGAATATATGTAACAATATTTTTAGACTTTAAAAGGGCATTTGAGACTATAGATAGGGAAAAATTGTTAATGAAATTGCGTCACTATGGCCTTAAAGGATCAGTATTACACATTTTACAAAATTATTAAGTAAATAGAAGTCAAAAAACTAAAGTTGGAAATATTATGTCAAGTGTTCAAAAATATATCAGTAGGGGTGCCACAAGGGAGTAAATTAGGGCCGTTACTATTTATTATTTATTAAATAATATTTCTGACATTTTAGAATACTGCAAAATTCAAATATTTGCGGACGATACACTCATATACAGGGTGACTTCGAAGTTGAGTCATTTATTTTAACAGTGAGTAGATCTGATCAAAAGAAATGTTTTTTTCCTTTACCATTTTTCTGGTAAAATTAAAGTAACAAAGCTATAGCCCTTTGGAGGTTTGAGTACCGCCCTGTCTCAATAATAATATCATGTGCTTGTGTTTGGCAACAACGGATATAATCCACCTTATCGGTTCATCGCATCGGAAACAAAAAAGCGAAAGAATTTGGAACGAGTTTTTTACAATTATTTCATTCAGTTCAGTTATACATACAATCAGTGTCAGTCGCGTGTGAATAGTGTCTGTTGCGTGGCTCAAATGAAATAAAAAATGGCACATGTTTATGCGGATCGGTTTCCCAATCGAGTGCAACCAACCCCTCGTGCCTTTGTTAATGTAGTACAACGGGCTCGTGAATCAGGTGACTCAAGACTTCACAGGGGACCTCACGATCAAATACAGGTCCGCACTGAAATACTTGTCGTGAGGATACTTTATAAAACAAGGTAAACATTTTTTTTTATTTTTTTTTTTAATTTTTACACACATATTTTGGTTTATCTTCCTTCTACAATCATTATCTGAAAATTAATGACTCAACTTCAAAGTCACCCTGTATATAGCACATAAGCATTTGGACACTGCTTTAGAACTGTTAAATAGTGATATTGAAAAAATTATGAATTGGTTAAATGTCAATAAACTTAAATTAAATACAAAATAATAACATACCAAAAAAAAAAATACAATTCATAAGAATGACAACATTGATTGCACGAGACAAATGCAGATAGTATTGCGAGAGTTTTAAATTTGAAACAAAAATAGTAGAAAGTAGTCAAACAAGAAAAAAAAAGACAAAAAAATCACATGAACACAAGAAAAACTGAACTAAATGGACTCCAGCAGCTGACTTTTCATCAAAGAAACAACCTGTTTGGATCGATAGCTACTGTTGACTGCATTGTAATGCTTGACAGCATTATAGGTGTAACTTCTTTCAAAGTCCGAGGTATTGTGAGGAGGCATGTTAAAATTAGCATTAAATCTAAGAGCTCTGGTAACAAAACTACCTCGGTGAACTAATTTGCTAGCGTGGTAAGCTGGTCTGTTAGATAATAGAACTTTATGCGTGAAGACGGTCAAAAGATATAAAAATAACTTATCAATTCGCAACCAGTTGAGTTCTTTGATTTTATCTGAGACGCGACTAAACTTGCGCAATCCAAAAATAAACCTACAACAGCTGTTCTGAATTTTCTGGAGTTTCCTTTTGTGGACGTAGTCTAAACATGGGTAATACAGAACAAGAGAGTAAGAAATGACAGACAACACAAGACTTTCAGCGAGCTTTTTTCGGGTTTTAAAATTCAAGATGTATCGATTAGAATAGAGGAGTTTCAAACGCATATACGTTACTCTAGATAAGAAAGAGACATGCCGATCGAATCTCATATTTAAGTCAAGGGTAACACCGAGATTCTTGGCGTAATCCACAAAAGGGATGAGTGTCTCCTCCAAAAAAACACAAATCCTCTGCTTCATTTCATGGTAGGAGTTTTTCAAACAGTACAACATTGCAGTAGTTTTATTAGGATTGATCTTCAAGCAGTGTTTGTTACAGTAATCACCGATGTTAGCCAAATCTAAATTAACTTTAAAAGAAACTTCATCAACCTTTGATGGATCGAAACCAAACACTAACTGAGTATCATCTGCATAAGTTTGCATACTACAGTGGACTAAACAGTCTTGTAGATCGATCGTATAAATCAGATATAGTAAGGGACCTAATACTGAGCCCTGAGGAACTCCTGAAGGAACTGGCTCAAAGGAGGAAATTCCCTGATCAGTTTTCACTGTTTGCTGACGATTTAGCAAGTATGACTCAAACAACCTTAGAACTATATCTGACATTCCATAATGAGACTTACTCAGTAGTATCTGGCGATTGACCATATCAAAGGCTTTCGAGAAATCTAACAGTACCAAGACGGTGTTGATGCGATTATCTAAATTGTGAATGATGGAATCAGTAAGATGTAATAAAGACGAAGTAGTGCTGTCACCAGCTCTGAAACCTGACTGATGTAGAGGAAATAAGTGGTTTTGTTCGAAAAACTCCACAAGTTGTGAGTAGACAGCTCTTTCGAGTATTTTTGATAGAAAGCATAATAAGGTAATTGGCCTGAGATCCGAATATTGTTCTGGATGATTAGTTTTAGCTATTGGAATAATAATACCATTTTTCCAACTGGCAGGAAAGTAACCTGTTTCGAGACGGACATTAATAATGTGAGTTATATGGTGTATGGTATAAGGCAAACATAAGCAAACCATATTTAAAGTTAGACCATCAGAGCCACATGCCGTAGACTTAATGTGAGAGATTATATTGACGATGTCTTGCTGAGTAAGGAGTTTAAAAGCAAACAGAGGTGCATCCGGTGTATGGCGTCTATCGCTATAAGAGTTAGAGACACTATCAATCAAATTTGGATCAGCTGCAGCTGTCTGGAAAATTGAAAGAAAATAATTATTTAGAATATTAAAAATATTAGATAAATTACTTTCCCATAATCTTAGTATGTATTCCAAAAAAATTGTGTATAACACTATAATTTTCCCCCATTTTTTATATTGTTCAACCATCTTGTTTACAACAAATGAAAACATATTTTCAAAATTACAAATATGCTAGGATTAAGTCTATGTTAGAAGAACTGCAGTGGTTGGATGTGAAAAATTACATATATTATTTATTTCTCGTTTTCATATTCAAATTAGAAAATCATTTATTACCACCACATTTAGAGAACCTCACAAAATTAAATAGTCATTATCATAGCTAGAGGCAGTATAGATTTTCATCTGCAAAATTGTAATAGTAGCATAACTAGTAAATCTATATTTCAAAAGGGAGTATTTGAATTTAATAAATTGAATAATGATATTAAACAGAGTTCGAATTTAAAAATGTTTAAGGTAAAATTAAAAAATCACTTTATGAATAATCAAAATACATAGTGACGTAATTTTAATAGAAAAGAATGTAAAATTACAGAAAATGGATTGATAAAAAATATGTAACCGAATCATTATATAAAATTGACATTGTAGCATTAATGCTAAATAAATCTTCAACAAACAAATACCCAAACGAATTGAAAAAGTTTAGATGGAAAACTTGTTTTTCTTTATTCTTTATTAAAAAGATGCCGCACCATCAGAATTGTGGTCTTTTTGAGCATTTATTGAAATAAAGCTTTATCTAATTTGTTTTTTTTATTTTTACGAAAACTGGACTCTAGGAAAAAACACAAGAATAATTATTTCTAGCAAATTAATGGTTAAATTCGAAAAATTGCGCGTTCCTAAAAAAAAAAAACAGTTGCGTATTTTTTTATTTGGAAAAATGCTGCCACTAATCTCCTGTATCTCCGCCACTGGAGCACGTAAATCCACATACCAAAATCGTATAGTGCTTTCAGCAAAATTAAGTTTATATCTAACATAGATCCTAGTAATTTGTCTTATAGTTGATCCAGCTTGTGAAGAGCCCTGTACCATGTACATGAAAAATTTAATTTTTGTAAAAACTCTCTATTTAACTAGGGAAAAGGGTGGGCAGCTGCTCCCTCCTTAACATCTAAGGCATAGTAGCTTTTTAACAGGCATTTCTCATGAAATAAAATATATTGTTTACCAGTTACTTCTTTTGTTTTTCAGAGAGAAAATGGCCTTTTTCACGCGTCCCAGCACGACAGTGCCCTATTTGTCGAGCAACAACAGCGGCGTGGACGCAACGTGCCAACAGACTGAAGACGCCAACGATGGCGATAAAAAAGCGTTGAACTACGTCGTAGACAGAGAAATGGGCGTCGAGGTTTAGTGTGATTAGATATTTTTTTTTATTTAGGATGGAACGTGGAATGATCAAAGAGGGCGAGACGCTTGCAAGAATGTACAAGCGACAAACACTCATTTTTCTAGATGTTGTTATAAATTTAATGGGCCACACTTTGTGCCTTTGAGGGCTTTTTTCGGGATTTAATTAAGATTTAAAAACGATTTATTTATTTTGAGGAATTTAAAATCATGACTTTTAGTGGAGTCAAACTCGCTAACTACAGCATAGAATATTACATTAAATATTGTTTCATATGAAATAATGCAAAGAAGTTTTATTTAAATTGCAGCAAATATTGTTTTTCCAAGATTCAAAATTCATATCCAGCCACTATCTAACCAGCTGCAATCCAAGTTGATTATTTGGAACTGTGTGGTGACTGAAGGAATAATTTAACTTATTCCTTTCACACCAAGCCTCCATCTCATCAAAAACTGTCAAAATGTATAAAGTTCTTCAACGGAACTGCCAGAAACCGTGAGTGTAGTATCATCGACAAACGTTGTGACTTTACCCTTCGAAATGGTCATTTATGAAGTGTATAAATAACAACGGTCCCAACACTGATCCTTGCGGTACACCAAGGTAAAATGGGTTTCTATCAGACATTAATCTATCAATTTTCATCTGTTCGATAGGTATGATTCGATCCAGTTAAAATAAGACGTCTAAGACCAAGCGAATGTAGTTTTCATAGTATTATATCCTTACTTAGGCTGTCAAAAGGCGTCGATCAATCAAATGTGAGACTTGCAACGAAATTACCTTGAGCTGGTTCTAAGAAGGATAAATCATACATTTTGCAGCGATCTGCCCTCGAATCGTTGTGAATGTTTTTATACTTTCCAATTCGGATGCCAATTGAAGGAATTGTTAACGAGGTGGCGTCATATAAAGTGTTCTTATTACATATTAATTATATCAAGATGCGTTGGACTGTGAATTTGTTTATATTATATATTATCCTATAGGTGTTTTATTATTTAGTATGGATGTTATTCGCAAAGATATAGATGATATATATATATATTTTCAGATTTCCCTATTTATAGCTTTCAACTATGTGATTCAGTGCCTTGAGATCTGATCATTTCCTTTTTTAATATTTGAAATACTCAGAACGTTCGCGTAACGCTTTGTACTATATCTTAGGAGCAATTTTTTTATTTAGACGAATTTAAAAAATTGCGCACTTCTTGCGTCCTCTTATTTATGTATATCAATGTTGATACATATTATTTTAGTACAATCTTTTTTTAACCTTGTTACCATACCTTTTTTAAAGTTAGTTACTTTTTTAATTTTCTTACTATTTATAACTATCGACGTTTTCGCATCGAATTCAAAGGCTACAGGTGAAACTACATATGAAAATTAAACTCAGAGGTATCCAAATCTGAATCAATTTAAATTGAGGTATATTGGGCCAAAATGCCGTTTTTAGATCTAATCTCAAAAACGTATTTTTTCGAAAATATTTTTTTACGGGCGCAACTTTGCTTAAAAAAATCGAAAAATAAGCGAAAAATACGAATAACCGCATTTTCACCGATTTTCCAATTTTAGACATTTTTGTAATTTCGCTTAGTATAAAATTCAACATACATAAGTATTTTTATCGATTCTCACAGGTTCCACAAACAAAATTTCGTCACCCGGAAAATGTTCAAAATTTCATTTTCAAAAAAATATTTTTTTGAATTTTTTTTCAGAATGTTGCACATTTTAAAACCAACCACTATCAGTGCTTTCTTGGAATATTTTCAGATCCTTTATCTAAATAATTGATTGTTTTCCGGAAAATCGGAGAAAATAGGAAAAACCGCATTTTCACCGATTTTTCAATTTCAGACTTTTTGTCGATTCTTTCAGGTCCCACAAACAAAATTTCACCTGGAAAATTTTCAAAATTTCGACTTGAAAAACGATTTTTTTCAAAAATAATTTTTACGGGCGAATCTTTGCTTAAAAAAAATAACTGATTCTACATCGTTATATCCTATCTGTGATTTTTCATAGATTTGTGGTTCCAGAAGAAATTTTTTTCGGAATTTCGCAAATTTGAGAACCAATCACTATCAGTGCTTTCTTGCGTTATTTTCAAATTCCTTATCAAAATAAAGAATTTTTGCCCGCAATATCGTCGAAAATAGGAAAAACCGCGTTTTCACCGATTTTCCAATTTTAGACATTTTTATAATTTCGCTTAGCTTAAAATTCAACATAAATAAGTATTTTTATCGATTCTCACAGGTTCCACAAACAAAATTTCGTCACCCGGAAAATGTTCAAAATTTCATTTTCAAAATCGTATTTCTTCGAAAATAATTTTTTCCGGGCGCATCTTTATTTAAAAAAATGAAAAAATAATCGATCTTACATTGTTATATCCCATTTAACTGTGATTTTTATAGGTTTGTGGTTCTAGAAAAATATTTTTTTTTAATTCTTTTTCAGAATGTCGCTCATTTGAAAACCGACTATCAGTGCTTTCTTGGAATATTTTCAGATCCTTTATCTAAATAATTGATTGTTTTCCGGAAAATCGGAGAAAATAGGAAAAACCGCATTTTCACCGATTTTTCAATTTCAGACTTTTTGTCGATTCTTTCAGGTCCCACAAACAAAATTTCACCTGGAAAATTTTCAAAATTTCGACTTGAAAAACGATTTTTTTCAAAAATAATTTTTACGGGCGAATCTTTGCTTAAAAAAAATAACTGATTCTACATCGTTATATCCTATCTGTGATTTTTCATAGATTTGTGGTTCCAGAAGAAATTTTTTTCGGAATTTCGCAAATTTGAGAACCAATCACTATCAGTGCTTTCTTGCGTTATTTTCAAATTCCTTATCAAAATAAAGAATTTTTGCCCGCAATATCGTCGAAAATAGGAAAAACCGCGTTTTCACCGATTTTCCAATTTTAGACATTTTTATAATTTCGCTTAGCTTAAAATTCAACATAAATAAGTATTTTTATCGATTCTCACAGGTTCCACAAACAAAATTTCGTCACCCGGAAAATGTTCAAAATTTCATTTTCAAAATCGTATTTCTTCGAAAATAATTTTTTCCGGGCGCATCTTTATTTAAAAAAATGAAAAAATAATCGATCTTACATTGTTATATCCCATTTAACTGTGATTTTTATAGGTTTGTGGTTCTAGAAAAATATTTTTTTTTAATTCTTTTTCAGAATGTCGCTCATTTGAAAACCGACTATCAGTGCTTTCTTGGAATATTTTCAGATCCTTTATCTAAATAATTGATTGTTTTTCGGAAAATCGGAGAAAATAGAAAAAAACCGCATTTTCACCGATTTTTCAATTTCAGACTTTTTGTCGATTCTTTCAGGTCCCACAAACAAAATTTCACCTGGAAAATTTTCAGAATTTCGACTTGAAAAACGAATTTTTTCAAAAATAATTTTTACGGGCGAATCTTTGCTTGAAAAAAAAATAACTGATTCTACATCGTTATATCCTATCTGTGATTTTTCATAGATTTGTGGTTCCAGAAGAATATTTTTTTTAGAATTTCGCAAATTTGAAAACCAATCCCTATCGGTGCTTTCTTGCGTTATTTTCAAATTCCTTATCAAAAAAATTTTTGCCCGGGATATCGTCGAAAATAGGAAAAACCGTGTTTTCACCGATTTTCCAATTTTAGACATTTTTATAATTTCGCTTAGTTTAAAATTCAACATACATAAGTATTTTTATCGATTCTCACAGGTTCAACAAACAAAATTTCGTCACCCGGAAAATGTTCAAAATTTCATTTTCAAAATCGTATTTCTTCGAAAATAATTTTTTCCGGGCGCGTTTTTGCTTAAAAAAATGAAAAAATAATCGATCTTACATTATTATATCCCATTTAACTGTGATTTTTATAGATTTGTGGTTCTAGAAAAATATTTTTTTTTAATTCTTTTTCAGAATGTCTCTCATTTGAAAACCGACTATCAGTGCTTTCTTGGAATATTTTCAGATCCTTTATCTAAATAATTGATTGTTTTCCGGAAAATCGGAGAAAATAGGAAAAACCGCATTTTCACCGATTTTTCAATTTCAGACTTTTTGTCGATTCTTTCAGGTCCCACAATCAAAATTTCACCTGGAAAATTTTCAGAATTTCGACTTGAAAAACGAATTTTTTCAAAAATAATTTTTACGAGCGAATCTTTGCTTGAAAAAAAAATAACTGATTCTACATCGTTATATCTTATCTGTGATTTTTCATAGATTTGTGCTTCCAGAAGAATATTTTTTTCAGAATTTCTCAAATTTGAAAACCAATCACTATCAGTGCTTTCTTGCGTTATTTTCAAATTCCTTATCAAAATAAAGAATTTTTGCCCGGGATATCGTCGAAAATAGGAAAAACCGCGTTTTCACCGATTTTCCAATTTTAGACATTTTTATAATTTCGCTTAGTTTAAAATTCAACATACATAAGTATTTTTATCGATTCTCACAGGTTCCACAAAGAAAATTTCGTCACCCGGAAAATGTTCAAAATTTCATTTTCAAAATCGTATTTCTTCGAAAATAATTTTTTCCGGGCGCATCTTTGCTTAAGAAAAATGAAAAAACAATCGAACTGTTAGATCTCATTTAGCTGTGATTTTTATAGATTTGTGGTTCTAGAAAAATATTTTTTTTTGAATTTCTTTTTAAGAATGTCGCACATTTGAAAACCAACCACTATCAGTGCTTTCTTGGAATATTTTCACATCCTTTATCTAAATAATTGATTGTTTTCCGGAAAATCGGAGAAAACAGTAAAAACCGCATTTTTACCGATTTTTCACTTTCAGACTTTTTGTCGATTCTTTCAGGTCCCACAAACAAAATTTCACCTGGAGAATTTCTACTTGAAAAACGATTTTTTTTAAAAATAATTTTTACGGGCGCATCTTTGCTTAAAAAAAAATAACTGATTCTACATCGTTGTTGATTTTTCATAGATTTGTGGTTCCAGAAGAATATTTTTTTCAGAATTTCGCAAATTTGAAAACCAATCACTATCATTGCTTTCTTGCGTTATTTTCAAATTCCTTATCAAAATAAAGAATTTTTGCCCGGGATATCGTCGAAAATAGGAAAAACCGCGTTTTCACCGATTTTCCAATTTTAGACATTTTTATAATTTCGCTTAGTTTAAAATTCAACATACAAAAGTATTTTTATCGATTCTCACAGGTTCCACAAACAAAATTTCGTCACCCGGAAAATGCTCAAAATTTCATTTTCAAAATCGTATTTCTTCGAAAATAACTTTTTCCGGGCGTATCTTTGCTTAAAAAAATGAAAAAATAATCGATCTTACATTGTTATATCCCATTTAACTGTGATTTTTATAGATTTGTGGTTCTAGAAAAATATTTTTTTTTAATTCTCTTTCAGAATGTTTCTCATTTCAAAACCAACGACTATCAGTGCTTTCTTGGAATATTTTCAGATCCTTTATCTAAATAATTTGATTGTTTTCCGGAAAATCGGCGAAATGAGGAAAAAAACCACATTTTCACCGATATTTCAATTTTCAAAATTTCGACTTTTAAAACGGATTTTTTCCAAAAAATTTTTTACGGGCGCGCATCTTTGCTTAAAAGCAGTATTTTCTCTGATTTTTTTCAATTTTTGTCATTTAGGCTTAGTATAAAAAAGCATGCTTGCCCTAATTAAAAACGTACACATATACGTGGATTGCTTTCTTGCATTATTCTCAGATCCACTGTCAAAATCTATATAAATTTTTGCCTGGAAAATAGCCAAAAATCGGAAAAACCGAATTTTCATCCATTTTTCCAATTTTAGACATCTTCAGAGTTATTTAGAATAACTTCGCTAACTCAAAAACTCAACATACATGCATTTTTGTTCATTCTTTCAGGCTGCACAATCAAAGTTTCGTCCACCGGAAAATTTTGAAAATAGGAAAAACTGCATTTTCTTAAGTTATGAGATAATTGAAAAAATCGGTGAAAATCCGTTTTGTCCGATTCTTGGCGATCCTCCAGGCAAAAATTCATGTTTTTTAGTGGATCTGAAAAGAACACAAGAAAGCACTGACACGGTAAGTTTCATTACCTAGCTCAAAAGATTTAAAAAAAACTCACAAACTCACGAACAAAAGTTCCAGAAATCTATAAAAAATATGGTTATGTAGGATATAACAATGAAGCATCGGTGATTTTTTCAAATTTGTTCGAGCAAAATTGTCCGTGTAAAAAATTATATTCGAAAAAACACGTTTTTGGCTAAGGTGATTTGATCGAATATACCTTAATTTGGAATGATTGATTTTTTTATACCTTTCAGGGCAATTTTTATCTGTAGTTTCATCGATAGCCTTTGTAAAAGGGTGCAGCATATGCTATTTTAGGCGCTAGGGTTGTTTTTTTGAAGAGAAAATTCACAAAAAATAACCAATAAATTAGACGTTTTTTCCTTAGAAAAACTCTAAAACAATGTTTTTGTAACAAAGAACTGACTCTATTCCCTTTTTGGGCAACATTTAATGTCTACATACACAAATCTCTGCTAGCAAAACTTTCTAAGAACATTAATTCCTTGACTTATATCATTGTTCATGGAAAAAAAACTTTTTTGAACTATGGAATTTGTTGCATGATCTACTGATACTTTTCACAAAAAAAAAATATTCGATGAAAACAGCAGAAAAATCTTAGAAATACAATTTCTGAAAGTATAGTGCAATATCCATTTCCTATAAAATGAATCTTACATTTCTTCTGTTCAATTCTTTCGAATTAAAAAATAAAAAAAGTATCGGAAAGATCAGCAAGAGGTTGTATGAGCTATATTATGTATATTTGTATCTCAACTATATTAGTTGAGGCCGTTTTTACTGTAGCTAATATTAATCGTGATTTTATACCTTGTATTATATGTAAATAATAAATTCTATATAGTATTAGCGATGTATAAAAAATGGTATGTTTTTAAAAAACACAAGTACGTTCTAAACACAAATATATTGCTCTAATCAGAATATTTAATAAAATATGTTTTTAAGAACAACGCCTTTCATTTCCCAAACAAAAAAAAGGCGTCAAGCCGGTTGACTCAATACTTCCCACGCCTTCATTAGAGATTTCAAAGGAGAAGGTAATCGAATCAAGATTAGGTAGGTTCACTTAATTACGATGAATCTTCGACCTCTGCATATCAAATTAGATAAAGCAAATCTGTCGTATTTGTTTCCATCACAGATCTAGGAAAAATATGTCTCAACTTGGGTGTTTATTTTTGAAGCAATATATAGGGTGACTTTGAAGTTGAGTCATTAATTTTCAGATAATGATTGTAGAAGGAAGTTAAACCAAAATATGTGTGTAAAAATAAAAAAAAAAATGTTTTATAAAGTATCCTCCCGACAAGTATTTCAGTGCGGACCTGTATTTGATCGTGGGGTCTTGGAGCACCGGCATGTCACCTGATCCACGAGCCCTTTGTACTACATTAACAAAGGCACGAGGGGTTGGTTGCACTCGATTGGGAAACCGATCCGCATAAACATGTGCCATTTTTGATTTCGTTTGAGCCACGCAACAGACACCACTATTCACTCACGCGTTACCGACTGACACTGACTGTATACAACTGAATAGAATAATTGTAAAAACATCGTTCCAAATTCTTTCGCTTTTTTGTTTCCGATGCGATGAACCGATAAGGCGGATTATATCCGTTGTTGCCAAACACGAGCACATAATATTATTATTGAGACAGGGCGGTACTCAAACCTCCAAAGGGCTATAACTTTGTTACTTTAATTTTACCAGAAAAATGGTAAAGGAAAAAAACATTTCTTTTGATCAGATCTACTCACTGTTAAAATAAATGACTCAACTTCGAAGTCACCCTGTATAAAATTTGAACCTGTATCTAGATGCAAGCCCAAGAACTTTACTTGCCTTGTCAAGGGACATTTTTGAGCCATTAAAAGTGATGTTTAACGCCATAGGTTTTTTCTAGATCTTATGAAATTCTTCAGAATTTAGATAGATCTGATTGCTGCTAAACCGCTTGTGTCAGCAACGACACCACCGCAGACCAGTTGCCCATTGCACAGTCGGCAATGATGGAACGTCTTTGACTAATATTAAAGACGTTAATTTTTCTGAATATGGTCAGGAGTCTCTGAAAAGTCAAAAAATGAAATTTATGCGATTTTGATTTTTCTTCGTTTTTTCCGCCGTTAAACAAAAAAAAAGTAATACCTCGATTTAGACATTTTTTTGCTATTACAATATAGGAAGTACAAATTATGAAAACAAACACTTCAACAAACAATATATTTATTTGTAGTCATTTTGTGTACATTTTACATCAACATGAATGATATAGTAGTACTTTACACTTTCTCTTCAAATGCATTTTCTATGAAATAGGACTAACAGATTGTCTCATCTTTTTACAAGAAGTTCACAACACCTTCCATAATACGCTAGTTGTTCAACGAAAAAAAAAAGACGATTATGGTTCAGATGAAACAAAAACAATACAAATCTGACACATTAAAAAAACTAATCGGGATATATTTTTAATATTAAGTTCAACAGAACATGTTTTTACTGATATCATTAGACTATTGCTTTCTGATGATTCAAATTTCTGCTAAAACGTGGAATTGAGACAGTATCCGCCATTTTGGTGAACGCGTTTTATCGTTGGGAATTGAATACTTTATTATTTTGCTTTAATAAAAGTTTGTCATATTGTAACAAGAATGAATAGTACTGTTGACGCCACCTATTGGGGACCGCGCAAACTTTCCTTCGAGATCGACGCGAAGTGACCTCGAAGATTCTGGACTGCCGCTATGTGGCTCACCGGAACCTTCTCGAATCAACGAGTACCTGCGATACAGGTTGTTAGGGAAATAATATTCGTTACATTAATAGGTGATTCCTTCATTTCAAAATAATTGTTCTCTTCATCATAAAAATAAATATACGTATATAAATGTTATCTACCTCCATATTATACACGTTGAATATGGCATGCTATTGCGGTCGACACATATAGGTATATACAAACATTTACTTACATTGTTGACATCAAACTTTTGAGTAGCTACGCCGGAAAATAAGTATACAAATTGGTTATCACACAATACTTCATTATTACTCGCAATTATTTACAAACTTAACATACGTATTTTATAGTTGAATAATAAAATATCACAGAATCAAGTAAAACTTTTAGGAAATCACAAACAGAAGTTATCCAGCAACACATTGCTTTACTGATAGAGAACTGGCAGTATCACTATCGTACATCTGACTGCGATTTCCTTATAAGAAATATAATCTAGTGCTTGAGAAACAAGTCTTAAATTATTGCTGTAGTGTTACATTTGAGTTTGGAAATGGTTTCATCTCAGTTTTCTTTCCTCGGCAACTGTTTTAAAGATTAACTTTTTCCATGGACACTCTAACGATAATCCAACGTCATCTAATTTTTTAAAGGGAGGGTGACATGATTGCAAAAGCGAATAATTTATTTTGAGCTCTACATCAGATAATGCTACCTTCTCAGTGCTGGGACTATCTCTCTTCTGATCTAGAAAGGTAGACGAAGTTTTATAATTTCTTGAGAAACTTCTGCCCTGATTCGTATCTACCAAACACAGCCGTTTTATCGCAGTATATGTTTTAACCACTGTCTCAAAACGGAGGTTACTTAAATACTTTATTCATACTACTTGTTCTGCTTAACATTCTTCCTTCGTTTGTGGATCTATGCAGGGTGTTTTCAGAGATGAGTCATTCATTTTAACAGCTTGTAGAACTCGTTTACATCATTAATAATTATTAAAAAAAAATAAAATAATTATCAAGTTAAATATTGTACCCATTTGTTTCAGTAACGCAAAATCATGCCCGGCGAATCTACGACTCTTTTTTTAATTTCTAATCTTTCAATATTTCTTATATTATGCAACTTTTGTATAGGTGACGAATCCTACAAGCAGTTAAAATAAATGACTTGACTTTGAAAACACCCGGTATCTTATGCTTGATGTATACCATTTTGAAACTCTTGCACTATATTATATGTGTTTCTTAAATATTCAGAGGAAATACTATGTGGATAACAAAATGTTATGCCATTCATCGTTGTTTAAATTCTATTTGGAATAAAAAAAAAAACAGAACTGACAATTTCGGAGATAGCCACGAATTTCTTTATTCTGATGTATGAAAAATCGTTATTTTTAACTGTAAAATGAGGGTAATATTAGATCTACTGACAAAAATATTTCAGAAAGATACAGGGTGTCCCAACATTGCGTAGACGTAGAAGTATCACGTATCTTTAGTCTCATAATAAGTCGATGATTTTCCTCTATGCAAAAGTGTTTCGTTTGTCGGTTAGATAGCGACAAAGTTTTATTTTAAAACATTTTTCAAGATATTCTAAGAATCGATAGTCTGATTTGAATGAAACTTGACTTGACTTATAGGAAAAACTCTTAAGTGGTGAAAACTACCCCCACCTAGATATAAATTATAGCAGAACTTTTGGCAACTTTCCTGACGATTCTGATTTGAAATTGGGACACCCTGTATAATGCCTATACAAAAATTTAGTTGTTATAAATATAACTGTCATGTATCTAAGAGATTGCCAGCTCCTGTACTATAACGTGTTAATCAGTTAAAATACATTCAATACGTAGATGGACATCAGGCAGTTTTTTTTTGCTAATGGAATAAATTGCCGATATCTACTTGATTCCTGCTAGCTCATTGCAACGGACTTTTTAACTGATTGCTTATTAAATATGAATGCGCTTCATTTCCGAACATTACTAATAAAAAGCTTCACATCGATGGTATCTTTTTTTACGTTACCCAAACACGCGACTGTAAACGATTTCAGTTCCTACCTTTTAGTGGAAAATGTGCCTTTCAAAAACAAAATATTATTGAATGACAGTTTATTTCTATTTGTTGGTGCAAGTACCCACAAAACATGTTTTATTTAAAATAACGTAGTTAATATGTGAAGGAGAATGCAGTTTAATTTTAATATTAATAAATAATTACACATGATTATTATTAGTTTCGGTAGCAAAGCAGGACGAAATAATTGTTTGTCAAAATATCAGAATAATATGCGCGATGTAATCAGGATTTGAAGGTTTTTTATTGGATTTGCGGGTGAAATCTCTCAAACTGTATATTGTTTACCAGCCTACACACATATATTAACAAAATTGTTTACAATTTATTGTAATATTATATTCACGGTTTTCATAGCATTTGGACAGAACCGTATACGAGGTTTGTAAATTAAGTGATGAGACCAGCGACATAGCGTTCAATCTGGCAACATTGGAGGCGCCGGTTTGCAGGAGAGACAGAGATGTTGCCAGTGTTGCCCAATCTACCGATTTTTGATATTGATCATAATACAAGCTGTGATAAAAAGTTGGTAGTTTGTTGGAAAAAAATAAAATAATATAATAAAATTATAATTAAATTGAGCTGCATATTTGAGGTAAAATTCATATCATAAAACGCCGATCTGCTTTGAAAATACACTGCAGTTTATGAAGTTTGACGTTAAAATTGTATGTACGGGGTAGCGGGTTTCAATTGAGCCTTTTTATATCAAAAAGTATTTTGTTATTTGTCATAATCATCTAGTTTTTTAGTTTATGTGAATAGATCTCTGTAAATACGGCCCTGTTAACTACCGAACGAGCACGACCCAGTTAATCAATTTACTCGTATAATGCGAAAAATATAACATAAACGTGTTATCGGTTTCGAGAGGGCAGCTTAATGAAATTGTTATGCATTATAAACGATGTACGAGGTATAACAACTAGCCCCGATTTGATTGGTTTCCTGATTAACCTGCCGATGAATTTACGAGTATATCGACAAGAAATGTAAACAGGATGAGAAAATAATAAAGCTTGGGATAATGACCTCACATCCATACATTTTATAGCTATGATTCGGGCCTAACAGAAATCAAGTGACATAGCTCTAGTCGTTTAAGCTAGTTGAGATGACCAGAAATGACATTTGTTGATAATTACCGATGCATGATTCTTCCGTCGACAAGAACTAGAAAGGAAGTTTGAATGTTTGGATGAAGCGAAAACATTTGCTGATCTATAGGCAACCGGGCACTCGAGTCATTACATGACGGGTTGCATACGTTTACATACAGGTAACCTCTGTAATCAAACTATGTAATGTGAAGTTAAATACAAGTAACTCCTATACTTTTGCTTACCACATATAATAACAAATAAAATACAACTTGATACGTAAATCTGAGTATCAAAGTGAGTCTTGTCTAGAGGAAAATCACTTAAACCGGTAGATATGCGCCTCACGACCCAAAGGGAAGCAGAAGTGCCTTTTAAATCTGGGAGGGTAAACCCTTCTCTTTCAGACAAATGTCACCCTACGATGGTGTGTGTTATGCAGATAACTAGAATATATATTTAAATGCGTCTTTATGTATAATTTATTCAGAATCACAGCCTCTCTCCAAAATATGCGGACTGGCAGGCTTTTAGGAACGGCCTAAATGCGTTCTTCGGGGTATATATTTGCAAGGTACGAATCCTTTTAGTGCAGATAGGTGGTTCCTGAAAAGAAATGAACATATCAGTCGTCGTAAAATTATGTGCTAACATCATCTAGATATATCAGAAAATTTAACTATACAGTGTTTTCAAAATATGGAGCAAACAATCAAGAGGTGATTATTTGGATCATTTTGGCTATTTTGCCAATTGCCGAATTTGTTTTGAAGATACAGGCTTCTGAAGGACGCCACTTTAACACCTTGTAATCCAGCGAAAACCATATACAGGGTGCCCCATCAATATTCCCCTGCTATGATAGAAAAGCTATACAAGTGCAAGTTGCACAGGGTAGCCAACTAAGAATGCGAAGTGCTGAATCTGGGATCTATCCATCGTAGAGGCTTGCGGCAAAAACAGTTATCACTAAAACTGCGAAGAGAAAAACCTGGAAACTATTTTCAACTTACTGAAATGGCCGCTAGGGAGCGCAACTGTAATCTTGAATCACAGCCGACGTCAGCTACGAGCCGTGAACAAAGAAATCTGGCAACGTAGGTGGTGGTGTTACTCCCGCCGCTGTTTGCTGCATCGACGCAACTCGTGCTCAAAACGCTGAGAAAACATAACCTTTTCAATTTGTGATTTGGGAATCCTAGAGGCTGTAATTAAGAGATAAGCTTGTTTTCTAAGCTTCAAAGTGTGTGTATGTGTTCAAAGTGATCGGTGACTATAATATATGAGAGATAGACTCCAGTTGTAGTGGTTCTGTGCTTTAAAAATAAACTAAGAAGTGTGACTGTGGCTGTTCGCGCCTCAGGACGCTAAGGATTTCAACTATTGGAAACGTGCAAATTCAGGTTGTATTTTTCTTTTTTCATTTATCAAGTATTTGACGCAGACAAATGCCTCGTTGTTGCTGTGTTCCTTTATGCAATGCAAACTATAATTCTGCTTTGAAAACAGAAAGTTATGTTTCAACTTTTCGCTTCCCAAGTACCGAAAGTCTGAAAAACAAATGGCTTATGGCAATTCCCAGAAAAAATTGGACACCTTCAAAATATTCAGCTGTGTGCAGTCGTCATTTTAGAGAATCGGATATCATCAGGACAGAAAATATAGTTTTGGCGGATGGAACAGTCCAAAATAATATACCTTTGAAATATCCAAAATTGAAAGAAAATGCTGTTCCCTCCATTTTCCCAAACTTGCCATCATATCTTTAAAAAACTGAAGCACCCAAAAGAACTGACCCAATGCAAAGAAAACAAAAATTAATTGAGAAACATGAAAAAGCTATCCAGAATTTCGATGATATGGATAAGATCAAAGACTTTCAAGAATTACATTCTTCATTTTCAAAAATTAAAGCCTCACAGAAATGGAATAATAAATTATCTGATGGAAAGCTATATTTTTATAAATTGGATTTTCAAGTTCAGGTTGTTCATAAATGATGTAAGCTTTCTTTTAGTGACTTGAAGTGGGTTTTGCCATATGATCTCAAAATTACCAGATGGTCCCAATTAGAAAACCTGATACATAGGTAAGTATTTTTTCTATTTTTCTGAGAACCAACATAAAAACTCTGTTGAAATTTGCATCATGAATGCATTGGAACAACTTGAAACAGCGATTTCCATAATTAATAATGACTCAGTTATGTTTCCATATACAAAAAATCTAGAGATTATTGCTGATCAGCTGAGACAAATTCAAAACAGGAAAAACAGATATGCATCACTTTCAATAATAATGGCTTTTACGTTTTATAACCACTCATCATCAACATATAATTTAATTAAAAGATGTTTTATTTTGCCAAGTAAGCGATACTTACAACATATCTCCTCAAGTATGGATATATCTCCAAAAAATGATAGGAATAATGAACACCACCTTTCGAATATAGCAATGAAGTATTTGAGACAAATTACTTAGCCAATTGTGACATACGAGGACAGTACTAAGACTTATATATCTGGATATGCTTCACACGCTATCTCTAAAAACCTAAGCTGCGAGATATGCAAATCGCTAATAGTTAAAGAAAAAGGTTCATTAACAACAAATGTTTATTTTGATCATTTGCAAAGAGGAGGACTGTCAATTCCAACCAGTTATGTACCAATCATATTCTACCATATGTATGCTATTTTTGAATCTATTATTAATGTAGATAGATTGGAAATTTTCTTCTTGAAAAGCAATAATCAAAAATTTATTTTGTGTCAGTTAACCTTGCTCAGCATTCAGTCTGACTTTATATACAGTGAATTTTCTTTAACTTGCATCTGTGGCCGCAATTATGCAGATATTTTATCTAAGCTTTTGTCTATTTTTTCAAACATAATTTTGAATGATTATGTAAAATTGAAAAATAACAGTAAAACTGAAAGTAAATGTATTAAAAACAAATAGGTAACTCCACATTTCCAAGCTGGGCCTGTTGGAACACAGTGTGCTGACACCAAAAAACGTAAACTAAATACTTTTAATTAGGTTAACTGCATTAGCGACTCATATATATCACGATTATTTCGTATTTTTAAATTTTTCAGAGCTATTTCATATTCAGACGATTTGTATCGAATCGAACTGTCCTCTTTTCCAAAATTAAATTTAGTTCTTGAACGTTGCACGGAGACGGAGCACACAGCCGCTGGCGGCCGACGTTCACAGGTAGCACTACCATGCCGTCCGAGCGCGGTGTTGCCTTTCTTTCATCACGGCTCGTAGTTGACGTCGGCTGTGCTTGAATATAAGAGATCTTTTCGCGAGATCCCGCAGTGAACCGAAGCGGGAACAGATGGAATTTCCCCTTCCTTGACAGTTTCCAGTTACGGGAGTAGTTAGATGGCGCATGTTGCGCAAAATGTTAGCTTTAAGATCCTTGATAAACTTCTAGAAGACTATCCGTAGCGAAATTTTTCTCCCTTTCGCTGCACAAAAAATGCGAATGAAGATTGGAAAACTGTCGCTTTGACGTGCTATATGACTCTGTTGTTACCCCGGGATAGACATACGTTTTAGCAGTTGACCTTGTCATTCTTGTCACCTAAATTGCTGCGATGCCAGCTCGTCGGAGAATTTTGCTACCTCTGCTATTTTGCTAGAATGTTATATAAAAAAGAAGCTTTGAATAAAACATTGAGGGATACCAGTGGACATGTATAAAATTTGAGGCGTAGCAATATTCGCCAAAAAAACTAAAAAAAGCTGTTTGCATCTGTCTCTGTCTCTGAACACTTTTATAAATGCCCAGTTTTATAGGATTGGAAAAGAAAACATGTTTTTATTATATAAATATATTTATTAAGTATTTGATCTAAAATTACAAAATTATATGATCATTAATAGGAGAAGTACGATTTTCATTTTCTATACTATTTAGTAGGAGAATATGGTTTTTAGTGACTGCATTCACACTTGGGCGAGGAAAACCCTAGAAAACCTTAACCGTCACTGCTACGATTAATTATATCAGCTGAAGAAAAATCGTTCCACAATTCTGGCTTCATTTGTACAATCGTAAATCGCCAGCATGTCACAGTTATTAACCTAAAAGAAAATAGCGTCGAAGTAAGGGTTTATGCGAAAACGCCGCTAAGCTAAATTTTGTAATATTGTTTTTAAACAGTGCTAGTCGGCTTATGTAGTGAAAATGTGTCGCTTTGGAAGTGATTCTTGATGATATTGATCTGGTGATTGAGATATACCTCAGTATATGACTAATCTCTCAGTGTATGCAATGTGCGCAATTTATTTAAAAAAACATAGGATGTCAACCCTTACACACAAGTAGATGAGTATGCAAGGCTCACCTAGTTTGCTGCGCAGATATCCTGTTTCCCTCAGAAGAGTTGGAGGTAGACCTAATTTCCACTTTGGATACACCTGACACCCACGTCACAGCACTAAAACACCAAAGCAATACTGAGAGATAATCGAGAACCCTATAGTGAACACCAACTACTGAAAAAAGTAGCTAAACCGAATAGAGCTTTGCACGTAGGTGTGAACGCGTAGACATTCCGCTGCGTCGACTGTTGCGTGTGAGTGCTGTACCTCGCTGTGGCGATACGGCATGGCCGCTACGCCCCTTTCCAGCTCCCGCTCCGCGCGTCTGCTCCCGGTCAACGTAAACATTGTTATGTTATTTGTTTATTTTTTTTGTTTTTTCTTTCTAAAATGCAAACGCTTTCCCCTGGTTGGAAACTCCTGTTCTAGAGTCTAGTAGAATACATTTCGACAGTGTTCTTGCGTGGCCATGTTATCTTTACTCGGATCCAATCTTCCAATTTTGATTTGCATTTTTTTGAAATGTATTGCAACGATTTCGGGAAAAATTTTGCTACGGATAGTCTTGTAGAGCATATAGTAGAAATCACGAAAGACGACGATTACGTCATCATTTTAGTCTGTAGTAAAGACAAACCACAGCGATTTGTGAATATCTTTAATGAAGTTTCAGATATGTTATTTTATTGTCTAAACAAACTGTATTGCTAATTTGCATGTGTCCGACAAAGCTAGACGATGTTTTCACGTTGCATGATCGATCACATTTGAAAGACGGATAGTTAGGTTATGTTAAAGCGGGTTAGGTTGTTTCCGGATAATACTTTGGTTTTTGGTGTTCCTGTCTTAAGGTATTCTACTCATAACTGTTTCTTTCTAAACAAAAACTCCCCACTAAAATTATTATTAAGGTATCACTCAAAACCATGAAATAAAATGAAAATAAAAATAATCAGTGAAATAACCTAACATCGCAAAATCATAATATTAATTCATGACATGGTGATTTTATCATCGACGTACGTCCATTGATTACAGTACAATTTATGGTATGACGTAATAGTCATCTTTCGTGATTTTGACTATAGTATATAGCTACCTTGACCCCTTCCTCGTCCTCATATCACAGCCGCTCGCCCTAGTAGCAGTACCCGGCACTAGACGAGTCTCTTGCGGCGCTGCCACGTGGTTCTCTCGTTTGCTGATTGGTCGGCTAAAGGTACCTGGCCGGCGTCTTCCAGCAGCACGAGAAACAACACGGC